AATCCAAGTACTGGTTCCTGCCTTCGAACTATTGATTCTGGATACGGCCTGTGTGGTTTTATCTTTCCTAATAGCAAGTATGCACTTGTTGGAACTAAAGGTGGAACAATGGAAATTATTGACATTGGTAGTGGCACTTCCATTGAAGTAGTGGAAGCTCATGGTGGCTCTGTTCGTTCCATTGCAGCCATTCCCAATGAAAATGGTTTTGTGACAGGAAGTGCAGATCATGATGTTAAGTTTTGGGAATATCAATTTAAACAAAAGTCTGCCCAAGTACGTATTTTACACCTTCACCTACTTGGAGTTCTAATCTTGTAGTAGTTTCATTATGGTTTTTTTCTTTTGGATACACTACTTATTTCTGGAGCATGATACTCTCTGGGCTTAGTAACCTGATCCATGCTCAGAAGTGGTGCTGTTTATTTATTTCTAAAAGGAAATTATAATATATTAGGCATGCTTTCTGAAATCCATGAAAAGCTTTGATGATATATGAACTCAAATATGTTCTGCTTCTAGGACTTCTGGATGCTCAAGTCATTTCAACAATTGGGAGAATAAATCCCTACCCTTTACCTCAGGACATCTATATTGATACATTTACATATTTGTATGATCATTCATACATATTGGTGCAGGCACTAGGGTATAATTGGATATTTGAAGGGGCCATCATTTAAGGTTTTAAGTGTGCATATATCTAGTGAGTGAGTGTCGTCATTTTTAATGGGTGTCTTATATCATAAAATTCCATTCTTGATGTTGATGGCCTCCATTTCCCTTTTTTTTTCCTCCTCATAAATGTTACTATGTTTGAAACAGGATTCTAAGCAACTAATGGTGTCAAATGTAAGGACTATGAAGATGAACGATGATGTCCTTGTGGTTGCTGTCAGCCCTGATGCCAAATATATTTTGGTTGCGCTGTTGGATTGCACAGTGAAGGTCAAATTGACTTAGTCTTATCCATTTTGATTTTTGTTTGGATGGTTTCTTCCTAGGTTGTAAACCAACACATTATTTAGTTTTAAATTTCAACTCTCAGAAATGTTGTACATCTGAATATATGATATCATTATTTAGTTTCACTTTTATTAGCATATGTGCTCTGAATCTACGTTCAAACGTAATATCTCTCTTGACATGCATTGCATCCTTGATTAACTATGTAAAGATAGAGTGTCAGTGGCATCTGAAACTAACATATTGAGGATAAGGATATTAGATTGATTTGACAAACTGATCTTGACATCTTTAACCTATCTATGATGAAAACTTCTGGTAGGAAATGCTTAGAGTTAGCTTTGAACAAATTATAGGGCATGGAGAAAACGTTCTGTAACCTAAAAGTTTATTGTTCCCTTTAATATTATTCTTTTCTCCCTGAAATAGCTTCTTCTAGTATTTTAATATCTGCATTACTTAGTGCCTGTTGTTAACTTATGCATTATGTTTTCTATCCTTAGGTTTTCTTTTTGGACTCGCTCAAACTTTTCCTTTCCTTATATGGTCACAAGCTTCCTGTTCTATGTATGGACATTTCATCTGATGGAGATCTGATAGTGACTGGATCTGCTGACAAAAATTTGAAGATTTGGGGTTTAGATTTTGGTGATTGTCATAAATCCATATTCGCTCATGCTGACAGGTGCAGTTTTTGTATAAATGAACATAAGTTTAGATGTGTGAAGGTTTTACTAACAATTTTGATGAAATGTTTCCGCAATGCAGTGTCATGGGAGTGCAATTTGTACGAAATACACATTACATGTTTAGTGTTGGGAAAGATCGCCTAGTAAAATACTGGGATGCTGACAAATTTGAGTTGCTTTTAACTCTTGAGGGACACCATGCTGATGTTTGGTGCCTTGCAATTAGTAACCGTGGTGATTTCATTGTCACGGGGTCTCATGACCGATCAATACGTCGTTGGGATCGTACTGAAGAGCCATTTTTTATTGAGGTAATTGCTCCTTGTTGAGAAAAAAAAGTAATTTCCACCTTAAATTTGTTTTATTAAGTAAAAGTTGATTATGTAGTTTATGTTTTCTAGTGATGCTTATGCTTTAGGTTAAAGATGTGACTTCTTTGTAACACATGTTCTTCCCCTATTAAAATGTTCCATTTGAAATTGCAGGAAGAGAAAGAAAAAAGGTTGGAAGAGATGTTTGAGTCTGACCTCGATAATGCGTTTGAGAACAGGTATGCACCCAACGAAGAAATCCCTGAGGAGGGAGCTGTAGCCTTAGCAGGGAAGAAATCAAAAGAAACAATTACCGCGACTGATTCAATTATTGATGCACTAGATATAGCAGAGGTAGAATTGAAGCGACTTGCCGAACATGAGGTATATTTGGTTTTTTGCTCTATAGTCTCTGTACTAGTATGATCTCTGGCATGATGTGTATTATCTGTGTATAAATTTACTGGTAGTTCTAACACTTTAACATAACCCAACTGTATCTCAATTCAATTGTTTCACCATGCCTATTCAGGAGGAGAAAAGCAGGGGAAAAGTTGCTGAGTTTCAACCAAATATTGTTTTGCTTGGGCTCTCTCCATCCGATTATGTTCTTCGCGCAGTTTCAAATGTCCAGACAAATGATCTGGAGCAGACACTACTGGTATGCTTGTGGTTTTTCTGACATGAAAACTCCTTAAAACAAGTGAAATTTACTTATTGCAAGCTCAAATTTTTAACAGTTTGACTTGTTTGTTTTGCTGGTTTTAGTCATTCTTCAAATGGAGGTTTTGTCTAGTTTGTTGAATTAATAAATTGGACCTGGCTTTAAAAATCATTGTCAGAATGCATAATCTTTGTCTGTACTTTCCTTTAGCATTTCTTTTATTCACGCCACACAATTTGGCTGTGGAGCTCGTTCAACTATATTTATATATTTTAAAATTTTGAATAAGAACTGATGGCAATTATCTACCCCAATGGGATGAACTGATTTAAAAGTCACAGTACTCCTTTCATTGCCTCAAGCCTATTGAACTTCTTTCTGGGATTTTACCCTATATTTGTGTATAGTTATGCATGACCTGTAACTTCTCATTTTTAGTTCCGACGTTAACTTGGCTGTCTAATTTGAACTGCATTTATGTGCAGGCTTTATCATTCTCAGATGCTTTGAAGCTCTTGTCTTACTTGAAGGACTGGATTTTGCATCCTGATAAGGTTGATGTCTCTGCACTTGTTCAAATACGTTGGCATCCCTAGATTTTTATTTGTGGCACATGCTTGTGTCTATCTATGCTACACAGTTTTTTCAAGTGTGGTTATTATCTATCATATCATGTAGTTGCTCCAATGTGTTTTTTAAAGGGAGTTTCACTAAAACACCCAAAATAGGGGCTGAAATTATAAAAAAACCCAACACCCAAAACACTTTATAAACACACCCAAAACCCATCATTACACACTCAAAACCCATTTATAAACACACCCAAAAACTATACAATTGTTGATTTTGGGTGTGTTTCTATGTTTAAATAGTGCTTGGGTTTTTTTTATAAATACATGTCTATAATTGGGTTTATTTATAAAGTTGTATTTTTTAAATTGTTTGCAGGTTGAACTCATCTGCAGAGTTGTTACATTGCTAGTGCAGACGCATTATAATCAGTTGCATAGTACACCTGCAGCAAGACCTGTGTTGGGTGCTTTGACAGAGATTCATCCGAGAGTTAAGGTAATTGGACTGCCTGCACATTCTTTCATAGAAATTTTACAAGGTTAATGATGCCTTCTCAGAATCAATACTTTTGTGTAGCTAGAATTTAGTGATTAAAGTCTATTTATCTGTTTTCTGTAGAGATGTTATGTCAATCTTTGGTAATATTTTAATATTGTGGAGAAAAAGCAATTGCACACATATTACTCACATCCACGTGCATATTAGTATACATTTTATATGCTGCAGAGTTTTGCTTTTAACACTTGCTACTACTGCCTTGATCCAGAAGTTACTTGAAATTAACTTAGTTTTTAAAAGAAAGAGTACATGAAGTTCCCTTTTCTAGTCTTAATTTAAGGCTTTCTTATTCCCTCCTAGTGGTGGTGTGTATGTAGTTTCTACGTAAAACCATAGAAACTTAAATCTCTGTTAACATCTGAGCATTGAATTTCTGTCAGGAATGCAAAGATATAATTGGTTACAACCTTGCAGCAATGGAGCATATTAAGGTGCGGGCATGAATCTTTGGGTATATCTCGTCTTTTAAGAAAATAATTTAACTTATTCCATTTCGTGTTTCAGCAAGTGAAGGCTTCAAAATCAGGTGCATTATTTCAAGATGCAAAATCAAAGTTACAAGAAATTCGCGCTCAACATTCTAAGCGACTAGAAACAAAGACAGATCTGAGAGAAGAAAATGGAAGAAAGAGAAGGAGAAAGAACAAGAATTCAAGTGATGTACATGTTAGATTGTTCGACAAATGAGTTAAGTCTACTAAAACTGGCTTATTTGAGAAATTCACACCGTGGCGTGTATTAAACCTACTAAATGGGAGAAGAATTCTTCACCGACTGGAAGGGCCTCAGTAATCTGCAATGCTGCTGTCAGTTTCATCAAGGCAGGTATATAAATCTCCTCAAATTGTTTCCATTTACTGCACTGCTGGTGGTCCATCCCAGACTTTCCAACCGGTGGATATTTTGGCCCCGTGTTCTGGGAGAATCTTTGTAGTGAAAAAGGATTGCGGAGATTCCGGTTTTGTAACAAGTTTAAATCAACCTCCTTATTGTAATTTATTAACCAAGTAAAATTTTTTGATGGCTGATGCCGAGAGTGTGTTCTTAGTACTCACAGTCAAATGAATTTTCACATAAGATTTCGACCATCAATGGGTTTTAAGCACATCCGAAATGGACCTCATATGTGTACATGGTTGTTGGGATTTGAGTAACTTTAACGGCAAGAATTGCTCTATAATAGCTTATAATCGCCAAAATGCCAGTTCTTTCCTACATGACATGAGGTACAGTCTCTTATCACTTGCCTAGACCCGGAAGTTCAGTGACTCGCCAACCAACTTGGTGCCTGTAAGCCACAGCTGACGCCCACGTCCGACTCATCGTTGTCCATTTGAGCTGGTCGTGGCCCTTGACCTGCTTAACCTTTAACTTGGCGCCCGTAGCCATTAACCTTTGACACCTTTCTGTATTATCTCTCATCGAGTTTTCAACTCTATCATCTCTCTTTTCACTTCTTTAACTACGAATAAATAAAACAGTAAAAATGATACCAAGCGGGTCTTCGTTACTCTTCGTATTTATTTAATTTCACAACTAACAAACTGTGAATTCACTGAATTGTATGTAAAAGAAATATAGCCAAAAAACATCAAAAATTTCTTCATTGACATCCGTCGAAAGCATTAAAACTCATGAAAATTTTCTTTTCCTAGCTAGTAGAAGTTCTTGCCTTCGTAGGTCTGGCCAAACTGCCAATTCTTGGGGGCAACATTCACAGAGGTTATGATTCTTCCATCACTCTCTCCAACCCTAAATGTCAGTGCATCCCCAGAAAGCTTAGCACCAGTAACCCACCTCTGACCCCACATTCGCTCCAGCGGCGTCCATTGAAGCTTCTCACCCTTCACTTCCACACTCGTCACATCCCCAGAGCCAGCCACATTCCAAACTAACACTTCATTGAAATAAGGGTTCCCAGTTATTGTAAACCTAATTCCTCCTTTCTTCTTGCATGGAACTCTTCGGTATTCTACCGGCACGATGCCGGCCTTGTGCTGGGCAACAATATTGAGGAAGACAGGCTTGGCTATGTCGAAATGCTCGCGTGGAGGATTGCACCATCCTCCATTGTCACTAGGCTGATTCCAATTTGGTGGGCAGTGGTTTGTTGCTGTGACTGAGAGAACTGGCTGCCCGGGTTTGCACCATTGAGGCGAGTCTACACATTTGATTTCGAAACATGAACCACATGACTGTCCTTTGTTAAACAATGCATCGCTTAATGCTACGGTTTCTAGGCCATAGCCTTCTTTAACAACGTCATGGTAACCACAAGCTCCACCTAGGATGTTGATTAAAAAAATTTCCACAAATTAGTCGCACAAATATTGTAAATATTATAATTAATGGAATTTCTGTCTTAATATAGAAGCAAGCAACCAATAAGCCATGTGTCATGGAAAAGAATCTCAAATTAGATAGGAAAATGAGTTTCATATGGGAAATATTCTTGCACGGCACTCTAACCCAAGGTGTATCATCACCACTCTTCTCAACACTTGACACGTATTCATATGCATAAGCATGGTTCTATAAATACAAGGTAAAAAAAATGCTCTATTTGATATGGAGTTATACCTTGAGTTATTAAGGGAATATCTAAAAATTAGATGGTTTGGATCATTGAAAAACAATATGTGGTGGGCCCTACAAGCCTCAAATAAACTTATTTAAGGGATCCCTCAATAGAAGCTCACTATATATATAGAGTTTGTATTGGGAATCTATATATATAAAACAAAAGACAGAGAATGGTGAAACATTCAAAATATTAGAAAATGTCATTGGTTAATTCAAACATTAAGAATTAAAATTATTAATTAAATGAAGATAATATGGTAAATTCACATTTTTTTCATATTAAAAATTAAAATTAAAAACAAAATCAGATAATAGATCATACTTTTATGGAACATAACCACCCATATTATCTTTTCTTAAAAAAAAAAAAAAAAAAAAAAAAAAAAAAAAAAAACAAAACCAATTGGCACATTGAGCGTGTGCCAAGGAGCTAGTATATAGTAAAATGGAAGCCTATAATGACATCTTTTTGAACATAAATACGATATATACAAGTAGAATATCTGGATCGCTTAAGAGGATTGATCATTAATTCATACCAAAGGTTCCGGAGCCTCCTTCATAGAATGTGGCATGAGCACGCTTCCAAGGGCTAGGCTTGAACCTTGGCCCAGCCTTATCGTGCGCCTCCTCGTCGCCAAGAAGTACACGGTTAGCAGCAAAGACATGGACATGGTCAGGTAGTAGAAGAAGAAAGAACAGCAATGACCCCAAGAGGGCTTGCAAAGGCAATGTCTTCATTGTCATGGCGTTCGCACTCAGTGACGACATTGGCATGGCCATTAATTAATTGGTATATATTTTTGTTTCTTAGTTTTTATTTATTTTTTTTTCCAGATGTTAATTTCTGGCACGGGTTGAGTATATATAGTACAAGATTTAACATATTATTGTAGCGGTTATTTCGGTTTAATTAGTTGGAAGTTGATTTGTGCCACTAGTGATGGGAGGAGGTGAACATACTTTACCTCTCGACCTCTCTTTCAAATGCCATTGCTAGCTATATATAGGGCTTATAATCTGAAACATTCATCTTTTAGCTACCTTTTTTTGTTTTGGCAGATTGGGCGCTAAGGCCAAGAAGCAGCTAAACAGAAACAAACGCAGACTTTAAAGGCCACACCTCTATTTTTTATAGGTCCCACTCTTATTCGGTGATCCTTTCTATGCCTCGTTAAAATCTTGTCTTAAAAACTTCTTCAGGAGGAAAATTAGACAATACTTAGATGCACTCTTGTCCACCCCGCCATTTGTTATTAATGAATCTTCACCATTCACATATCATAACAAACCAAATTTAAGTTAAATTTGTTTGCTCTTTTGGTGAACGAAAACTTGTATAATAATTAGTGAGGCCTTATGGACTTGAATGCCATTTAAATAATTTTTTCTATTCATATTGTCTATACAAACTTTGAAAACGAAGGCTAACGATACGCCGTGGCAAATAAAGCTCATCAATGCAACCCATGGCAAATCTCCAAGTCGCAATCTACATGTACTACGGAATAAAAAAAAACTTCAAAATAAAAATAATCCACTTCCGGAAGTTGAATCTGAAATAAAAATAAAACAAATCTCAAGTAAAGTGTCCTAGCCCAAATCAAAAGGGTTGGATTAAAAAATTCACTCAAATGTCACAAAACTTAGAACATAGAGGGAAAAAAAAAATCCTTTTAGGTGTAAGATTTCTTTGATATGAAATATGTAGAATAGATTGTCTCGAGCTCCCAAAATTTTAGGGCCGAATTTGTTCTCAACTCTCAACTTGTATCCGTATTTTATGAAAGTGTCCTTATAAAGTTGTTTTTTGGTTAATAATAGTGAGTCTCATGTACATATTATATGGAAGTATTTTTGCTCACCATTTTAACCAGATGTATACTCTCACCACCCAACCCATGACTTGACATATGTCCATACCTATAACCTTGGTTAACTATTTATTTTAAATCTTTTAAACTATTTAAAACTGTGGGGGCTTTTTCGTTCCGACAGCTACTACGGGTCTGGGCTGTTGTAAAGAGTCAAATGTGTGAAAATTGCCCCTTGGGTCTGAGTTCAAGAATCAGACCCTAAGAATGCTTCGAAAGGGTAGCTGAGCCTTAGGAAGCACCTTGGTTGCCTTCACCAGCAAAACTAACAGTCACTTATAGATAAATTCTTAGCTTGACATGAGAGGCTTGTGGCATGGAAGCAAAACAATCATGAGTTTAGCATTAAAGAGAGAGAGAGAGAGAGAGAGAGGAGAGAGAGAGAGAGAGAGAGAGAGAGAGAGAGAGAGATGTGAGTTCCTATGAGAAACATGAGTTCTAAGGAGAAGGGGAAGGGATTCTAAGTAGGTTTGTTGAAGAGAGAGAGGGATGGGGGTATATTGGGTGTGTTGAGTAGTTTCCGGCAGCTCGATGAAAACTCTGTCAAGCTTTGGAACAGTTTACCTAAAGGGAAAATGGGGAGAGATGGAAGGATGAGACTCGAAATTGCAGAGGTTTCAGAGGTGAGAGATAAAACTTGCTCTCCAGATATGTGTTGTAGCTAATGGTGAAGTATTTTGGTGTTTTGGGTAATTTTCCAGCAGCTTGACAAAGGCTCTGTCAAGCTCTGGAATGACTTACCAAAAGAGAAAATGGGAGGAGATGGAGGAATGGGGCTCGAAATTGCAAAGTTTCAGAGATGAGAGATGAAGCTTGCTTTTTAGATGTAGGGTTGATGGTTGTTGGGTAGGAGGTGTTTCATTTATAGCCGCTGGAAGCTCCTCCTTTCCAAGAAACCCTAATGGTTTCTATCTAATTTGGCCAAGTCTTTCCCCTCATTTTTCTTCTCTTCCTTTGACTCATCCTATTTGGTGAAACTCTCTCTGCCTAATTGCACAAAAACAAGGATTTTTGGGAGCTCTAGGGCTTTTCCAGCAGTTGTTTCAGTGGGGGACTCCCATTCTCAGCCATCCCCTTTTTTCTTTCCTTCCTTCTTCTATGGCTAGATATGATGGGGGAAAGAAATAGGTATGTACGCTGGTTTGAATGGTGTTTTACTCAAGTATCCATTGGTTTTTCTGATGGCTTGCGTTGGGTTTGTCTTTGGCCATGTGCTGGAGTCTCCCAGTAGCCTAAGCGTACAAACATCTCTTGGTTTTCTATCGTGGTTTCGTTTCAAATCATGTGCTGGAGATTTTTTGGATATTTTCTAACCCATTTGGGCAACTTGGGCATTCCTAAGGTCATGGGTTAGTGTATTAAGGGAATGAGCCAACCTCCTAAGTGATGGACCATTTTTATTGAGATGATGAGCTAATTTTTTCTAAAGTATTAGGCTATCTCTTCTAGAGTATTGGGTTTTTTTTTCTTCTCTCATTTATGCTTATCCATATATTTGGGCTCAAGAAATGGGCTTGAGTTTTGGGGCTCCCAAGTAGTCCAAAACTTCTATTTCTCGGCTCATGAATGGGCCTTATAAAAGCTCGTTACTATCCATACCATAACCCACTCAACAAGCCCTGGGCATTTGTGTGGCTTGGGCTCACTTAAGCTTGTAGCGTGGCTAGGTGTAATAATAATGATTTTCGCTTGGCATTGCATGTCATTGGCGTGCTTGAATTTTATTGCTTTGAAGAGGAATATGATGCTTGACAGGATTAATTAGCTTGGGTTTATAGACCCATTGCTTATTTCGACACTTAGCGTGACAAATTGCATATTTATTTGGCATGGCATGTGGATCATGACTCGTGTGAGCGTGAATGACGAACTTTTGCATGTTCCAAATCGGGTATTTTCTTAATAAGGCATTGCGCTAGGCCAGGAATTCATTTGGGCCAAACTGTGGATTTTTTGGGCCTCAACAAAAACTAAATAATAAAACAAAATAATAACAAACTAGCCCCTTGGCACATGCTCACGCATGTGCCAATTGGTTTTCTTTTTTCTTTTTTCTTTTATTTTTAGAATTAAGAAAAAATAAGATGGGTAGTTATTTTCCATAAAAGTAGGACATATTATCTGATTTTGTTTTTAATTTAATTTTATTTTAAATATAAAAACATGTGAATTTACCATATTATCCTCATTTAATTAATAATTTCAATTCTTAATGTTTGAATTAACAAATGATATTTTCTGGTATTTTGAATGTTTCACCATTCTTTGCTTTTTGCTTTATATATATAGATAATACTTAAAAACAAAGAAAAAAAGTATATGTTTCCTTCTATCCCTCCCCCTTCGACCTCCAATGAGAAATGAGAGAGGGGAAGGATGGTTTCAAGATGCCAAGAATCTACAAATTCCAAGCACTTCAACGGCCCAAATCTATAGGATATTTCACATCCGAAGTTGGAAAGGTGACGAGAGTGACGAACAAGAAGCCACCATGTCTGATGGTGCCGCTAGGGTTAGGGTTTCTCAGCTTGTTGAAGAACAGAGATGACAATGACGAAACTACGGGTAAATTAGAAACTGTGACAGACATGTCTTTTTTCCTTTCCCATTTAATCTTTGTGATTACTGAGGGTGAGTGAGGAGAGGGAGAGAATGGTGGCCGGGTTGCTGAGGGAGTTGGGTGGTGAATGTACACACATAGTTAAAGTCCCCATATTATACATGAGAGGAATTTCTAAAAACTACTTCATTAACTCTCTTTACATGATGAGGGGTAAATATGTTACAATTTTTTCCTTCAAAAAATGAAAGAGGAAATTCACCCAAAAAATATAAAATTCCTACAATGGATAGCCAGCAAGCATATTTACAATTTTTACATACTCAACCATGAGGGGTCAAGAAGAAACCTGCAAGTTTTGTCTACTTGAAATTCTTGCCTTCGAAGGTCTGCCCAAACTGCCAATTGTTGGGGGCAACATGCCATGACGTTGAGTATCTTCCATCGCTCCCTCTGACTCGGAAGGTCAACGACTCACCGACCATCTTGGCGTCGGTCTCCCACTTCTGACCCCACAGCCGCTTCATTGCTGTCCATTTGAGGTTCTTGTTGCCCTTCACTTGCAAGCTCGTCACTTCCCCAGCTCCTCCCACATTCCACACCAGCACTTGGTTGAAATATGGGTTCCCAGTTATTGTGAACTTTATACCTCCTTTCCTCAGGCATGGAACCCTGCAAATTATTCAAATCATATATTTACATTAAACCCTAATTAACTTTGATTCAAAACATTCTATTATCTTGACATTGCCATTACTTTCTGTCTCATTTCATAGGTGAGAGTTGGATTATAAAGCATTTTCAGTTGGAATAAAAGATATGGGTCTTATTGTAGTAGTTCTATTTACACCCCAAAATCTCATAACCGACCCTGATATTTTTCATGTCTATATCTCAACATTCCCATTAATTTTTCCATCCTTTTTTTGTTTTGATAAATTTTTCCATTTCCCACAATTTTTTTTTTCTTCATATTTTTATTTACCAAGGAGGAGTAGTAAAAAAGAATGTAATTACATTTACCTGCGGTACATGATAGGAACAATGCCAGCCTTGTACTCGGCAATTGTGGCGAAGGCAGGCTTGGCTATGTCAAAATGCTCGCGCGGAGGATTGCACCATCCTCCATTGTCACTTGCTTGGTTCCAGTTTGGCGGGCAATTGTTGGTACCGGTGACCATGAGAGTTGGCTGCCCTGGCTTGCACCACTTAGGGTCGTCCACACATTTGATCTCGTAGCATGACCCGCATCCCTGCCCTTTGTTGAACAATGCCTCGCTCAATGCGGTTGTTTCTAGGCCATATCCTTCTTTTACCACGTCCTCGTATCCACAAGCTCCCCCTGCATTATTCATCAAAATCATTAGTCTTGATAATGATTTGATTGTTGGAGAATAAGTATATATCCTAATTGAGATCATATTAGTATGGAATTTGGTGTGTTACACTAAGAAATTAGAGTATAATGCTATATGTACCACATTATAGACTAGATCTTTAATCTCTATTTTATATATAGGCGTGCACTTATAGTTGAAGTTTATAATGTGATTGGTAAATATAGTATGTCTAAACAGAGACTAGAGATGTGGGTTTTCTCTTTCTTAGAGAATAAAGAGGTGATTCACAGTGTGATACGTAAATATGACAGAGATGGTTTATAAGTAAAAATTATAATTCTCTACGAATTTTAATTTTTACATGGTTGATCTTTAAAAAGAATAAAAATTGGGGATGAAGGTTTGAACTCATAGCTAGGTGGAAAGAAATATATCACCAGACCAACAGCTAGGTGGTCACATTTCAATCTCTTTAAACAAAACGATTTTCTTTTCTTGGAAGATGAAGCAAAGAATGTCTAGAAAAATAGAAGAAGCAAATTATATATTCATACCAAAGGTTCCAGAGCCCCCTTCATAGAATGTGGCATGAGCATGCTTCCAAGCACCGGGAGCGAACTTTGGCCTGTGGTGGTGGTTGTGGGCAACTACATGAATATCATGCCCATCGCCCTTTGAAAATTTGGCAGCCCTTCTCCATTCAACGGTTGCAGGGACAACATCAGCCACCAAACAAAGAAAGATGAGCAGCAACAAGCACATTTTATATGGCATTTTTATTTGTATGTAGAAGATTTGGTTCTTGGTTTTTCAATTCGATTTGCTTTAGATTCTTGTGCTGGGCCAGATTTTTATATGGTTGTAGAATTTAGGCAGTGTCACGATTAGTTCGGTTAACTTGGTTTTGGAAGGATGCAAGTGATCCGGGTCGTTACAATGCTGCTATTATTTCACAAGGATAAATATTTAGATATGAAGATATATAGTAGTTTCTATAAATTAACAAAATTCTACAAACAGGACGTGAAAGTTTTTTTTAGCTTCTTCTGCTTTGTGGTATAATCGCATCGTTTCTCTAGGTTCCTCACAAGGTCTACGGTGGCACCTACCCAACAGCAAGCCGTTGATCTTATATCGGTCGTCAATGTGACTGAAATCATCATCCACTGACCCGCGACCGCGGTACGCAATTGAGAGATATAATTTATAAAAATTCGGTATGAGTCCAAAATCGAAAACAGAATTTGGATGAAAACAAAATATATGCAGCTCATGAGAATGTCTGAGAATTGGTCAGGTGAGTAGACTTTTTTTTTTTTTGGTCAATCATGAATTAGATTCCAAGCCAAAAGGCAACTGATAGGAAATACACAGAAAGCAGAAACTGAGACAACTACAGAGTCTCTTTCATCTGAATCGCTACAACCCAGCAAAAGAAGGAAAACTCCAACTCTAAAAAACAAAAATTAAGGAGGACTTGGAAGACCATCAGACACCAAAACATGTATGAGAGACAGCGGTGGTTGAGTAACCCAGCTTTCCAGCTCCACTGCTCGGCAACCTATCGCTGCAGCCTCATGAGCTGCTCGATTTGAACTCCTTTGAACCCAACGCCAAAAAACACTTATGAACTGATTAGCTTTAAGCCAAATAACCTCAATAGAAGGCCTGATAGTCCAGGCACGGTTCCTTACCTCCCCTTTGATCCCGTCCACAAGGGTCTTTGAGTCAGATTCCACGTAGACATCACTATAGCCCAGATTGGCCGCAAGCTCCAGCCCCAAGACAGCTGCTTCAGCCTCCACCTCAAGAGTAGAGTGACCCACTCGTGATGCAGCCATGCCTCCTAGAAACTCCCCAACTGAATTACGAATTACCACTCCAACACCAGCTTTTCTACCATTGCTTTGCCAACTCCCATCAATATTAACTTTAACAAAACCCATTGGTGGCGGCTCCCACGAACAGACCTCGCCAATTGAAGGGGAACGGCTCGTTTCATTATTTGCATTACTATGCCACACTTTCTGAAATTCCACCTTTGCCTTACTTGCTGTTTCAACCACTTTGCATGGATCAATTCTACAACCTTCCATGATACTATTCAGCCATTTTTGATTCAGTTCTCAAGTCCAGAATACTATTCAGCCAAACATCCAGAGTGCTAAAGCTTTGAGTATCAATTCTTAACGTCATTGGAGATCCAAACCACACAGCTTGAGCCCAGGGGCAGAGAAGTAGAGCGTGTTCGATGGATTCTTCGTATTGATCGCAGAGGCCGCACATAGGAGAGGCAGTAATTTTCCTCCTGAATAAGTTAACCCGCGTTGGGATAGCATTGGACATACATCTCCATAAGAACATGCGTACCTTAGGCAGGGTGCGAACACTCCAAATTGCTTTCCATATTCGGTTTGAGATGAAATGAGAAGAATGCGAACTCCCAGATGCTAAGTAACGGTGAGCCGACTGCAAACAGTGATATCCGGATTTTACTGAATATAGACCGTTCGAAGTCCAAGGCCAAACAAGCTTATCCCGCTGCCCTGAAGGACCGATGGGGATGGCAAAGATCTGCTTTTGAGTTTCCCAACTCAGATAACTACTCACCCTGTCCAAACTCCAAGTTCGATTATGCAAATTGATAATATCTGAAACCATTTGGGGAGCATTAGGAGGGACGTGAGTGATTGGTGTAATAATGCCATTATCAGGAATCCAATTGTCACCCCAAATATTTGTATCTGCACCATTCATGATCTGGACTCTGGCCCTGCCCATTAAAGCATATCTTCCCTCTAGAATACTCGTCCATATCCAAGATGGTCTGTGACCCAAAACAGCATCCTTAAACTCACAATCAGGATAGTACCTCGCTTTTAGAATTCGAACCCATAAGGCATTAGGAGTAGAGATGATTCTCCAACTCTGTTTAGCAAGTAGAGCCAGATTAAATTCCGCAAGGTCTCTAAAGCCAAGACCCCCATCCCCCTTTGCCAAACACAAAGCCTTCCAAGATTTCCAGTGTATGCCGTTGCCGCCTTCTGATTTTCCCCACCAGAATTTCGCAATATCGCTACTGATCTCATTGCACACCACCTTGGGGAATTTAAAACACATCATAGGATAAGCTGGGACAGCAGTGGCAATGGCCTTGATCAAAACTTCCTTTCCCGCCATTGATAATGTGCCTTGTTTCCACCCCATTATCTTCTTCGCCACATGCTCGCGGATATAGGCTAACACCACTTTCTTAGACCGTCCCCAAGTCATTGGAATGCCCAAATAAATACCAGAGTTATCGAACCCTCTAATACCCATAATTGAGCTTATATTTGCCTTGACATCCTCAGGGGTGTTAGCACTGAACATAAGACTAGATTTCTCATAATTAATTAACTGACCAGATGCGAGACAGTAATCATCAAGTAGACCCTTTAATCTAGAGCAGTTTTCTTCTTCAGCTTTAACAAAAAATAGTGAGTCATCTGCAAAGAAGAGATGAGACAGAATTGGAGCTCGCCTAGATACTCGAATACCATTAATGACACCATCTTGCACCAGCTTGGTTAGATTACATGAAAGCGCTTCGCACACCAAAAGGAAGAGGTAGGGTGATAGGGGATCACCTTGTCTTAACCCTCTTGAAGGCAAGAAGGACGAACCAGGTTGGCCATTCACTAAAACAGAGAAAGAGACGGTTCTAATACACAACATAACCAATCTGATCCATCCTGAATGGAAACCAAGCTTTTGTAACAGAGCTTCCAGAAAATCCCACTCCACCCTATCATAAGCCTTGTTCATGTCAATTTTAATTCCCACTTCATACTTGTGTCCCGCTCTCTTGAGCTTAAGATAATGAAAGGCTTCATGAGCAACAATCACATTATCATGAATCTGACGGTCAGCCAAGAAGGCATTTTGGGAATCAGAAACAAGGTGGGGCATGAGAGACTTTAACCGGTTGGCAAGTAGCTTGGACAAAATCTTGTACGAAGTGTTGCATAGACTGATCGGTCTAAACTGTGAGGTGGACTCAGGAGCAAGCACCTTAGGAATCAACGCAATGAAAGTTTTGTTCATGTCACGAATATGGGATTGCCCTGTATAAAACTCTTCAGCTGATCTAAAAATAATATCTTGCGCAGAAAGCCAATACTTCTGGTAGAACATATCTGGAAAGCCGTCTGGGCCAGGTGCCTTAAGGGACCCAAGTTGGAAAATTGCATCTTTCACTTCCTCCAGGCTAAAGGGACGCATAAGCTCTCCATTCATATCATTATTAACCAACTTAGGGATATGGTCCAAGATACCATTCCAATTTCGAGGGCCACTGGACTTAAACAAGTTCACAAAATAATTTTGAAACTCATTTTGTATCATTTTGTCACCCGCTATCCATACTCCAGCCTCATTCTTAATCTTCCAAATGCGGTTCCTTTGCCTTCTCTGGATAGTAGTTAAATGGAAAAAGCGAGTATTAGCATCACCAGCTTTGAGCCAACTTACCCTTGATCTTTGTTTCCAGTAAAGCTCTTCATTCTTCCATAATTGCTCCAACTCCGACATCAGTCGGTTTTGCTCATTCAAAAAGGTCCCAATATCCTGATTGGCTTGCCTCACATTAAGCTCCTTTAACACCTCTGCAATTTTCACTTTGTTGTTAGGGTGTCGAATTCGACTCCATTTAATTAAGGCATTCCTGCACTCCTTAAGATTAATTAGCCATTGTCTGGTACCAGGAGTTCCCATCATAGCCTTCCACCCTTCATCAACTACCCTCTGGCAGTCAGCATCTTCAGCCCATTGAGATTCGAAACGGAAAAGCTTTCTTCCTTTAGGCATATTGGGATTGTTATCAAACAAAATAGGACAATGGTCAGAGGCTATCCTTGGGCAATGGGAAACATTCGAACTAGGCCAAGCCTCTACCCAGCAAATATTGCAAAGCCCTCTGTCCAATCTTTCTCGAACAGAAATCTCCCCACCAATAAGTCTCTCCCAAGTAAAGGGCTGACCAATAAACCCCAAATCAACTAAATTCAACTTGTTCACAAAATCCACAAGGTAACGTTTTGGTCTCGGATTCCAACCCGATCCACCTTCTTTCTCAGATTGCCAACAAATTTCATTGAAATCCCCCACAATACTCCATGGCATATTCTCTACTTGGTCCCATTGAAGCATAGCATCCCAAAATTGGTATTTCTCTTCACTGTAGGGCGTACCATAAAACCACGTGCATCTGCAATGAATTTTCTCATTTTCTATTTTCACCGTAGCATCAATCCAAGAACGGGAAGTGTCATTAATTTGAACATCCACACCCGTCTTCCACCACACACTCAAACCTCCAGCAAGACCAATTGGATCCACAGTTACTCCGTTATGGTAACCACACTGTCTACGAAGCTGAACATTCCGGTGATGGTTTTGCTTAGTTTCCATCAAAAACACCACCGTGGGATTTTTGGAACGTAATAGTTCCTTCAAATACAGAACTGTCAAGGGGTTCCCCAACCCTTGACAGTTCCAAGCAAGTTGTATCATGATTCCCTTGTGGCTGTTTTGGGCCAGCCACCATAACCCTGGAGGGGGACAGTATCCTCCACACCCTTAGCCTTGCGCTTTCTTTCCATCTCTTCCAACTCTTTAGAAGGACTGACAACCACTTCACAAAGATTGTTATTTGTCTTGCTCCAAAATTCTGCTTCCCCTCTTTGTACAGCAGCATTCCTATTGATCCGACCACCTCTTTGCCTACCTCTACGCCCTCTTCCCCCTCTGTTGGACAATCTAAGAAGGGGATTCATGTAATAGTTTTCAATGAAATCACTGGTCCCTGCACTTAGAAGGTGAATAGCTCCAGATAATATGGCATTGGCTTTAGCTCCTCCCACCATACTCACCATTTCATTTTGATACTACCTGTAGTTATTCAGCTGCCCGGTCAGCGAAATGGCAACCTACAAAACCAAAGATGGATCATCATATCAACACGAGAGAGAGAGAAACCAAAGATGGATCATCATATCAACACGAGAGAGAGAGAGAGAGAGAGAGAGAGAGAGAGAGAGAGAGAATCTCTACATATAACCTATACTTGAAAGCAGCTCACGATTAACAAAGGTGGCTCTTCTCACTACAATTTCGAGAGGCTAGAGGCGCTCTGGAGCCAGCTCCTTGGTTGTCTGGTTGATATTAGATACAATGGGAGCATTCACAACATCTTTCATGTTCAAACTCAGCCAATTAAATGGAAGTGGTAGCATTGACAAAGATCTTTCACGCCCAAACTGTAATTCCACCGCAGCATATATCAATAGAACTAGATCATATTAACCCATCATCCACTTGGAGTGCATGTACTTGAGCCATTAGAATCAGAAGGAAGATGGGGCACTTCCCCTCCGATTGAGAATGGTGCTGGGCCGAGCACAACTTCTGGAGCAGCCGGTTCAGATCAACCCCAAAGGTGACATTTCCATGTGCATGACTCCCAATGAAATGAGGATCTTGAGTGTATCTTTTCTGTGTGTGATCCCTTCTCCTGGTCTCACCATAGTTTATTTATTTATTGAAGGGAAGCTGCAGATTTAGGTATTTATAATTTTAAAATACTCGAATTAACCCAGTAGAATTTGTTATAGTAGCATTTGAAGGTGAGACAATTTCCCCGCATTTAGGATAATTCGAGAAGTGATGGAACCATAGTGTAAGTTTTGAAGACAACGCAGCACCATCGGGCAAAAGGTCGAGATCAGACAATGAGGAATTCAGCAAAAGATTTTAGTTGCTTTGGTTGGTTCGTGTCCAGACTGTTTTATCCCCTTTTTTATTCTAAAGTTGTTCACAGACATGATCACAGGCACACACTCTAGTAAAGAATTTAACATTTTCACGTTTAATACTCGTATTGTACACGTACATACATATTTTTCATGTTTAATACACCTGTTTGTTACAAAATTTTCAATAATATACAAAAAAGTACTCACATATTATTGAATAAAAATAAAAATAAAAAATTTAAATCCTAATTATTTACTAAGTAAATAATATTAAAAACATAACTATTAATTAAAGTAACTGAAAAAGAGAAATTCAGACTATGGTATTCAATGGGTATAGCCGGACGGCTACACTTTAAAAAATTTCTATTTATATTGTATGGCAGGGCAGCTATACTGTTGAAAAATTATATTCATGGAGTATAGCCGTTGCGCGATACATTTGAAAAATTCTATTTATTAGTATGGCTGCACAGCTATACGCTTTTCACAAAACACGTGCTAAGAGATAGGCCTTTTTGAAAAAAAATAAATAGTATATACGACCAGCTATACTCCGAATTATTTACAGGGGTCATAGTGTCGCCGCGCGGCTATACTCTTTATAAGGGGCAATGCTTGCCTCAGAGTGGAAGGTAGCCAGAGGAATTTGCTCATATGGCAGCTTGTGCTTCATGATGAACTCCTTTTGCTTCTCATAAGTAAGATCCTCCAGTGCCCGAATGTCACCCTACAAATGCAAATATGAATTGAGATGTTTCCAAACACAACTTGTAATTCTCCACTTGTTCAGTATATACACAAAGGACTTTCAACAAGCTCAGATATTGGTGCTATTGCCTTAATTAGCTCGCATATCAAAAGCTCCATGATACTGCGTGCTTCTTTGTCCGCAATCTGGCCTCGCGAAGAATATCAGAAGCCAAGGGTGTGCCATCATAGGGGCTCTATACCAGTGCTAAACCAGCAACTTTGTCTTTCAAATCACACAAGTAGATTGACAATGCAGCTGCAGCATCAACGCCGCCCTTGCTGTGCCCCAGCAGCATCACACGCTTACTGGATCCCCAGTAAAGCTCCTCAATGTATTGCTTGAGTTCCCATGCATTGTGCTCAACAGATGCCTTCATACAAGAAAACATATGAAAGGGGAAGACAAATTTCACAAAACTCAGTCAGCAATGATCACAGAGTAATGACTCATTACCTCACTGTGAATTTTTGCAATATGGCAAGCTAGACCCATCTTCGAAAAGAATTTCTTTGTTCCAACAAAGTATAAGGGGCCATGATTGCTATAGAGGCCTGGAAAATCAAAGTTCCCATAACTATAGGTGCCACAACGCTAAATGTCGACTGAACAGGGTATAAGAACAAAGTCCAAAGAGAAAAATAAATTTTCTTTACCCGGAATAAGCAGATAGACAAATGAGCTAGGCAATGTGTGCTCCCCATTCCTGAAGTATATAGCATGACATACAAGCAATAGGAATATACAAGAATAGACTAAACAGATATGATAACAAATTGAACACAGTTCCTTAACAGGGCCAACCATCCAGTGCAGTGGAGCTATTATATTAGCTTGGTACCTTATTCCTGCAAGCAACTCCAAGAATCTTGCTGTACTATCCTCCACACCAAGCATGCCAGGAGTGCGCGGCAACCATCCAATATCATCAGATGAACCTTGCAATGTTTTCTGTACTCGAGATGCCAGGGTGACAAATGCAAAAATGAAGCTCAACTATGAGAACCTAAAAGAATGAAACAATGACTTGTAATTAAAAGCAATGAATTATTTGCACTGAGTAAAACAGAATCCAATCTGAACTAAAACTAAAAGAAACTATTCATAGGCTCTATGGAATACGAGTCCATCAGTTTGCATAATTGAAATATACTTCTTTTACCTACAAATTCGAAGATGAGCACATCTAACGTACACGACAGAACTTCTCCAACAAGAAATTGCCAATCTCCAAGCAAATTGTAAACCGTGTAATGGTAGTGTCAACCTACATCAAGATGAAGCAACATTACCAATCTAACAATGGAGATGACTAGATTGAGATTCGAGAAATGCAAAACAGTTACAGTAAGTCATACTTCTGATAAACACTTTGTAATTAGAAAGGGAAGGAGGTGAAAAAGGTTAAATATTACAATTAATCATTCAGTTCACTTTAAAGTAGATGGGCTCATGATGTTTTCTCATGAAAACTAGATTAATTGCCTGACCTCAGTTATTTAATGCATACTCAAGTCTTCAAAGATTGATATTGAAGAAAGCTAATAGCACAAAATGGTATTACCCTTTAAAAATGAGGGGGACGTCTGTATAATTGAAATTGGTTTCTACAATTTTAGATCTTGTATTTCCGTAGGCTCTGAGGCTCTTCTTTCACTGGTTTCAGGGTTACAAGGTTTTGAAGGTGATGAACAACCTTCAGAAAATGATTTACAAATGCCGTGTCTCAATGATCTTAAATGCTGTCCTGCAGAATTGACCAGCAAATCTGAGTATCTATCAGCATCTCTGACCGCAAGATCCTCTGCAATAACATCATTTCCAAATCCATCCATAACATTAGATGCATGAGTGTGCATACATGTAAGAATAGTAGAAAGAACTCACCTATAAATTGAATAAATCGACGACTTATATAACTAGCCAGTGTCAATAGACGGGTGAAAATGTCATCCATTGATGAGTAGAATCCCAGACTATCAAAAAGAAGACTTGCGCTCCCCACAGTATCATTATAGGCCTGATACAAGGACCTATATTAGATCTTTAAGGACAAGGTCTGAATCAAACTGACAAAAGTAAAGATGCCATAACCTTATTCCTTATGTGGGATAACATAAAAAAGAAATTAAAAAAATCGATAAGCTAATTATAATTTCTTACCTAATCTTGATCAAGAATAAGAAAGTTACAATAGAGAAGAGATACAACAAACATACAGAAAAAGTAGAGATAATTTGCAATAATGCACAATCGTAAAGTTGAAAATTACTCACTGCGAGAGGCATTTCAGATATTTCATTTTCAATATAGACATCACCTATTAATTCTTCGAATCCTGAATTATGCAACAAAACTATTAAGTAGATGCTACAAGACAACTTAAAAGGACGAAACTTTGACACAATCAGTATATAACAATAAGAACCCAGATGAGTAAATCAATCATATGATGAGAAATACACAACAAATCATCCCCATTAATTCTTTCAACATACTGAACTTAACTAACTCATCATCAAAGCAAAATGTAATAAAGATATCAGATAGCAACTTACAGTCAAAGAAGGACAATCTGCACAACCCAGAAACAGCCTGTGGCTCAGCAGACCCTAAACCCGGGAAATGGCACACGTACCTGGAAAAAATGCGACAAACCAGCCTGTGGCACCCAGACCCTAAACCCTAAATAACCAGACCCACCCTGGCACCCAGAGCCGCCTAGAGCCGCCTAGCGCCGCCTAGACTAGCCAAGCGCCGCCTAGACCCGCCTAGAGCTGCCTAGACCCGCCTAGACCTGCCTAGCGCTGCCCAGACCCTCCTAGGGCCGCCCTGACCTGCCCAGGCTGATTTTTTTTAAACCTCTCACAACGACTATTCGTCATCACAGGTTTATCCCGGCGAAATTTGCGATCTCTCCCGACTAAATTGCTTTGGCAGAGTTCGGTTTCGTCGGGTTTAGGGTTTAGGGTTCGGTTCCTTCTATACAAGTCAAATTTTGCCGGGATAGAACTTTGCCGACGAAATTTCGTCGGTAGAGGTTTTCTCTCTTTTTAAAAATAAAAAAAATAAAAAAATGAATTTTAAACATATAAAATTAATTTCCTTACTCTTTTTTTTTGCCAACTTCTTTAGTTTAATATATGTAATTAAGTAATATTTTAGACTTTCTTAATTATTTTCATTAATAATTATTTCTTTAGTGAATATTTAATTATTTTACTCATTTCATAAATTACTTAATAAATAGTAATTCTTTATTTTAAATTATTTTGTGGACTTAAAAAAAAATCTTACACAAAATTAGTTTGGATAAATCCAAGTGTTGAACCAAAAATCCTAGCTTCCGAACTTGTACCAAAACCTTTCTCGAGCTTCAAACCCAAACCATAAACCTACCGAGGAGTAGGTGCTTTCTCATCTTATCCATTGTGGGACACAAGTTCATGTATTCCAACAAGTAGTTGATATTATCGAATCACGTTGCGACTTGGATTTAAGTTTCGAGGCTAAAATCCATTTTTGGAATATTAAAATATTTGGGTGCCAAAACCAAATTTCTAGGATTTTTATTAAAATATTTAATACTAATTATTCAGCAAAGAAATAATAATTAAAACATAATAATTAATTAAAGTATTTAAATAAGGCTAAGATATTATTTAGTTAATAAAAAAAGGATATTTTAAGTGTATAGTCGCGCGGCTATTCTGTTCTAATTTAAAGAGTATAGCTGGGCGGCTCTACTCTTAACATAACTACTAATTAAAGTAACTAAAAAGGAGAAATTCAAATTATGCTATTCAATGGATATCGCCGCACGGCTATACTATAAAACAAATTCTTACCGTACAACCACGCGACTTTACTACTGTTGGAAAATTCTATTCATAGAATATAGCCGCGCGGCCATATGTCGAATTATTATATATACATTAAAAGTGTATAGCCACTCGGCTTTATCGAGGTTGGTTTATTTATTTATTTTAATAAATAGTATATACTATTTACAGGGGGCTATGCTTGCCTCAGAGTGGAAAGAAACTAGAGGAATTTGCTCAAATGGCAGCTTGTGCTTCATGATGAACTCCTTTTGCTTCTCATAAGTAAGATCCTCCATTGCCCGAATGTCACCCTCTACAATGCAAATATGAATTCAGATGTTTCCAAACACAACTTGTAATTCTCCACTTGTTTAGTATATACACAAAGGACTTTCAACAAGATCAGGAATTGGTGCTATGACCTTAATTAGCTTGCATATCAAAAGCTCCATGATCCTGTGGGTTTCTTTGTCCGCAATCTGGCCTCGAAGAATATCATAAGCCAAGGGTGTGCCACCATAGGGGCTCTGTACCAGTGCTAAACCAGCAACTTTGTCTTTCAAATCGCACAAGTAGATTGACAATGCAGCTGCAGCTGCAGCATCAACGCCGCCCTTGCTGTGCCCCAGCAGCATCACATGCTTGTCGGATCCCTAGTAAAGCTCCTCAATGTATTGCTTGAGTTCCCATGCATTGTGCTCAACAGATGCCTTCATCCAAGAAAACATATGAAAAGGGAAGACAAATTTCACAAAACTCAGTCAACAATGATCACAGAGTAATGATCATTCCCTCATTGTGAATTTTTGCAATATGGCAAGCTAGACCCATCTTCGAAAAGAATTTCTTTGTTCCAACAAAGTATAAGGGGCCGTGATTGCTAAAGAGGCCTGGAAAATCAAAGTTCCCATAACTATAGGTGCCACAACGCTAAATGTGGATTGAACAGGGGAGAAGAACAAAGTCCAAAGGGAAAACTAAATTTTCTTTACCCGGAATAAGCAGATAGACAAATGAGCTAGGCAATGTGTGCTCCCCATTCCTGAAGTATATAGCATGACATACAAGCAATAGGAATATACAAGAATAGACTAAACAGATATGATAACAAAATTGAACATATATAGTTCATTAACAGGTCCAACCATCCAGTGCAGTGGAGCTATTGTATTCGCTTGGCACCCTATTCCTGCAAGCAATTGTATTTATGGAGTATAGCCGTGCGGCTATACGTTTGAAAAATTCAATTCATATAGTATAGCCTCGCGGCGATACTCTTTTGCACAAATAGGAAGTCCTTTTTTAATTTATAAATAAATAGTCTCGCCACGCGGCTATACGCCGAATTTTTTTTTACATAGAAAAGAGTATAGCCGCACGGCCATATGGGGGTCGTTTTTAATTCTTTTTTATAAATAGTATAGCCGAGCGGATATACACTTTACATAGATACTGTGATCTTTTTTTCATAATCGTTTTTCCCTGATTTTTGTATATTGATAAGAGTAGTTTAGAGAATTATCCATTACTATTAGGCCATTACCGAAGTCTCTATTGTCCCATTTCGAGTTTTTACTTTTCCAAAATTATTACCCGTATAAAGAATTTAGATTTTTCATGTTTAATACACTTGTTTTTTCACAAATTTTTCAATAATACACACAAAATTCACATATTATTGAATAAAAATAAAAAATATTTAAATATTTAAATACTAATTATTCACTAAGATGGGCTATGCAAACCTTATTGGTCTTATACTTTATATGCATACTTATATAACGTGCTTGAGCATTCTAACACTGAGAACATCCTGTAGAACTTTTTTTCTGCTTGTGGAAATGGATGTTTGACCCACTTGTGCCAGTATTAAATTGAGAGATACATGAGTCAGGATTATTTATCTGTAAATTTGTAGGTTTATATTTTATGTTTTGTTCTGTTTTCTTTTCTTTGTGCATCATGCATGCTACACCTTGTAGATGGATAAAGAGCAAGTTGTGGACAAACCTCATCCTTTTTATTTAGAGTACATTGATTATGTCGTGCTGTAATTTTCAGTGACGTTACCTTTCAGCATGTGACTTGTACTCAAACCAAAATTAATCTTGCGGAAAGATTTGTGATTTCCTTTTAAGACATTTCAGTACAAACACTACATGGTGAATCTCTGTACTATATGCATTTGATGTTTGTTCCTTCTAAAAGATTTTCATGAGAAGTATGCATGTTTTAATGTCAAGCTCTGAGTATCGATAATTATTTCAGGTTTCTAGATTACTTTATACAAATTCAGGACTTTCCGTATTGGCATTATCATCTAATGCTGTACACAAGCTCTGGAAATGGCAAAGAAACGAACGAAACACGACTAAGGTATTAGAATTCCTAACAGAGATTGTTGCATTTTGTAACTTTTTATGTATCCTTAAGCTTGCCATTTACTAAAATGTTTGTTTCTTGTAGGCCACAGCTAGTACTGTACCACAATTGTGGCAACCTGCAAGTTGAATATTGATGACCAATGATATAAGCGATACAAACCCTGAAGATGCTGTTCGATGCTTTGCACTTTCAAAGAAGGACTCATATGTTATGTCTGCTTCAGGGGGGAAAATATCCCTTTTCAATTTGATGACATTTAAGGTAGGTTGTTTCCTCTGAACATTCCTCTCATTCGACATATCTAGCGTACTGGTTGATTAATTTAAGATAAGATACTGAATATGCATTGTCTATGAAACTTTTGAAGTGCCATGCATAAGACAATCTAAAAAGACAGAGGTGCTTCTGTACCATCCTTCAAAATGCATCTACTTTGCACACACCTATTGAAAATTAGGGAAAAAAAAAAAAGAATCAGATTTTTCAATCTACCCACCAATATTTCTTCCATCCAAATTTACAATGTTCGGGTTGATGAGGTCTCTGTTCACTGAACTTAAATTTGTCAGTTTGTAATGATATCTGGAATATGGGATTGCTTACAATCTGGCTGCTCCTCTCACAGGTTAAAACCAAGCTAAAAGGTCATCAAAAAGGCATAACAGGCCTTGCCTTTTCTCATGTTCTTAATGTGCTTGTATCGTCGGGCTCTGATTCCCACGTATGAATGTGCGAGTCCATATCTGTGCATGTCACTGTGCCTTTAAGGCTATAAGCAATGAACTAGTGACTAACAGAAGTAACTTATCACAAGTAGCCAAAACGGATCAATGTAGTATTCAGATAGTTTATAGTTCAACTTCATAGGAAAGGAAACTGATTCCCTGTTTGCATTTGACGATTCACATTGAAATCATTTCATTTATCCGTAAGTGGAGAATGCTTTTCTAAAATGCATTTCTCTAGAATTGTGGATTCCTTAGTCACTTAGGTGTTGCTTGCCTCAGGCCCTTACAAAAAGCTGTTGGTTTTAGACTCTCTTGCTTTAAACCAATATAGTCTTTCTGTTTCTGTCCTTGAACTTCATGCAAGAGAAGCTTCAATAGTTTGACTAGGTGTTGGTACTAATCACACATTTATAAATTGCCTATGTGATTGTAGAAATGTGATGATGGAGACGAGGATGATGGTGGTAAGACTGCTAATTAGCCCAAGCAATGAGCACAAAAGGCTGGTGGTGCTGGTGAGCAAGTTAAAATTCTGAAAATATTTTTTCAATTTTTTATTATTTATGTTTGTGTTATGTTGATGCTTCCAGGTCTGAACTTGAGTCACACAACAAGGCCAAGTATAGTGTTGAGGGTGATACCTTAAGTTTGTGAAGGTTTTGGTGGTGATCGGTTATGGTTTTATACGTTTAAACCTCAGTTTTTCTATTGCTTTAACTTTGATTAATAATTTTCTTTAAGAACACTACTTTTAACTGTTTCTTTATTGTCAGCCACTTTGATTTACCACTTTTCATTCCAAAATGAATCTCGTGCACTAATTGGGTCAAATTACTCTTGGTTTACATTGAACTTGTATACTTAATGCCAGAATACTTGCTCTATTGGTCGTGAGCCTTGATTGCTATGGCTAATGTCTTAATCAAAAATTGACCTACAATAACCCTCATAGCTAGTCATAGTCCAATTTCCTGTAAGCTTCTACAATCTGCCTGTAGTGTACAGAAAGTGCTTGCTCCTTCTTAGTTTTATAAGCCGCAGCATTGGAATTTCCTTCTTGATTTGATATAAAACTGTGACATTGATCTCCATCTTCACTTTTATCCCGAGGCTGCAAACCGTGTGCGCTGCAAACCGTGTGCGCTGCGCTACCACAGAAATGGTTACAAGCCATGATTCTGCCAATGTCTTTAACTTAACATTCAAGGACAAACACATGTACAATAATTTATGTATGTATATTTTTAAAATCATTATATAAGCTACTCATACGTACAAAAGAAAATAACATTATACAGCTGAATTGAAATAAAATTTAAAACCTCTATACATAATCAGGAGGTTTGGACCTCATCATGATCAAGGCTATATCACCTATCATCTCAGGTGAAACATTTTAAGTCATGTAGATTTGTCCTACAGAACTTTATAATCTTGGGCGCTTATGTATGTTCCTGTAGAAGCCTCTGCTTTTCATCTGCTACGAGTATATACACCTGCAATGAGAGAGAGAGAGAGAGAGAGAGAGAGAATTAATATATATATATATATATATATATATGTTGACAGATTTTCTTCTCATTAGTCATTGACTCATTGCTGAGAGAATTATCTCAGATGAAAATGGAAATATATTAAGCTCCATTATACTTACAGAGTTAAGGTTGAAATTAGAGCTCTATGTATGCAAAACATTACACTGATAAAGGATCTTGTTCGAGGATTTCCTTTCCTGTAATTCCATCTTTCAAAGTTTTAAAGGAAACATTGTAGTCCTTCCCGGGGGGTGGATTTTGAGGGTCCACTGTAAATGGCTCACTAAATGGCACAACACTTTTAACCTGCAAATGAGTTTATAAGCATCTCAGAATCTACAAAAGCTTTTAACTTCCAAAAATAGCAAAATACAGCCACAGCACACAGCACACAGCACACAATTAAGGGACATAAGTTGGGCTGTGACCTCAAATGTCTCGCCAGATGCATAGGGGCTTTCCAACGCAGCAACACAAATATGAGCAACCTCCTCTCTTGATATCTTACCCTGCATATATATATATATATATTATAAATCATAACATTCAGATATTATTACTATTATAAGGGAAAGAAAGAGCAATACATGTCATCACAGGCATACAACAAAGAGAGAATAGTTATCTTCTATTTGATTATACACCGTTATATTGTCTCCTTGGTAAAAAATGAGATCTGCTCCGGCAGGCTCCTCAGTTAATAATGCACAAGGCCTCACAATTGTATATGGTATTCCACTTTCCCGTATTAAATCCCCCCTGCTCCAAAACTTATCAATGTACAAAATTAAAGAGCTAAATCTGACCCAGAAAAAGAAAAAGAACAGAAAAGAGCTAAGAAGTAGTATTTTGAAACACTGATTATATATAAAAATATCAAATAGCTTGCATTGAATTAGTATGAAACCTTCAACTTGAATGTCAGGATAAAAAATCCAATTCCTTTTTTAAACGAACAGCAGGAGGCTGTTTACTTAGATCAAGTCCAGGCCTGTCAGGTCGGGTAATTCCTGCAGAACCAACGTGTACGAACCCACACGGAACACAAGCAAAGAGGTTCTTTAAAGACTAAAACAGAAAGTGCACCTAGCAGATCAATTATGTTTAGTCATAAGAAGATAATCCAACAAAATGAAAAGAATAATGTGAAACCTGGGAGTAATAGGACTCTTTTAGATATGCTCGTATGCTTGATAATGGGAGCTTAAATGCCCTTTCCACAAAAGTAGGATTCAGTTTCCTATCAAATTCAAACTTGCTAAACATGAGCTGCCATAATTTTGAATCCCATCTATAAACATAGAAGAAAATGAAGTGAAAGAACAGACTAAAAGAAAGTGGCTGCAGAAGTGTGCCTGCAATGACATAATATTGCTGGGGTCAAAAAAGGTGGTGCATCTTATACAGTTCTTGCTCGAAATATCGGCTTCAATGAAGAAAATGGCACACGTACCTGGAAAAAATGCAACAGACCCACCCTGGCACCCAGACCCTAAACCCTAACAAACCAGACCCACTCTGGCACCCAAACCCGCCCAGCGCCTCCTAGACTCGACCAGCACCGCCTCGACCCGCCCAGCGCCGCCTAGCCCCGCCTAGCCCCTCCTAGACCTGCCTAGCGCCGCCTAGACCCGCCTAGCGCCGCCTAGACCCGCCTAGCGCAGCCCTGACCCTCCTAGCTCAGCCCTGACCCGCCCAGGCCGCCTAGGCAGATTTTTCGTAATGCAGAATGTGGATTGGAAGGAATGGTTTCAACAAGAGGGGATGTGTACAGTTTTGGAATTGTAGTGATGGAAACATTCACAAGAAGGAAGCCAACAGGTGAGATGTTTGTTGGGGAAATGAATTTAAAGCAATGGATTGCAAACTCACTATTACCAGATGCAGAGGTAATACCAACTTGTTCTTTCTGAGTTCTATGCTGTAATCACACTTTTATAAATTGCCTGTGTGATTGTAGAAATGTGATGGTAGAGATGAGGATGATGGTGGTAAGACTCCTAGCTACTATAGCTGATTAGCCCAAGCAATGAGCACTAAAGTCTGGTGGTGGTGAGGAAGTTAAACTTGTAATTAACAGTATTTTTTCTATTCTTTCATTTCTTTCATGATGGTTTTTATGTGTATTATGTTGATGTTTGGGCTACAGACCAGTGCCTTTAGTAGTAAACTAGCTTTCATCGTTTAGTCCGTCTGTTCTATTAAGTCTATTTTAGAGGTATTTACAATGTTAATTGAATTGTAGCCACCGAGTTCTTGCAAGGCCCTACAATATATTTATTATGTGATCTTCCTCTTTCATGATGGATATAGTTGATGCTCTCCAAGAAACAACTAGCATCATGGGTGGAAAGCATTTGAAAGTTTAATGCTGATTCTTGCGAATAATTGATATAGTTGCCTCCTAACCCACCCCAAGTGTGGCGCACTTAAGTTTCCTTTGTTTAATTGTCTCTCTATCTCTCCACAGTATTTACTGACTATTTAGTCATCTCACAACATTTGGGTCTTTTCGTTTTCATTATTCTTCTACTTGCGGAAAATATGTGTCCTCGTCTATTTGAAAAATTGTACTCCAGTTCCGTAGGCCGTGGTCATTGATTGACCACTCCTCATTGAGCATGTTGCCCTTAAATGCGAAGTGATACCTTTGTGGCACATGGAGGTTCAAGTAGGCCAATCTTCGAGCCAACAGTGTTCTCAAAACAGAGGCAGCGTCGCTATAGGATAAGGTCTCAGAAAATATGTATGCCTCATTCCGATTTGGACCTTCACCTGGATCCTATTTAGCTGCGCTACATTGCCTGCCACTGAAGCATCATCTGCATTTGTCTTGTTTGCTCCTGATGCAGCATCTATCTAATTGGCTGCTGCTGCTGCTGCATCATTGGTGGCTGCTGATGATGATGCAACATCTGAATCGTGGGTGAAATACAATTCAATCTGATTTGAGGCTGGAAGTATTTGATTTGTTGCTGATATGCTGCTGCATTGGCTGCTCTTTCATCATTTCATCATTGGCGGCTGCTAATGATTGTGCAACATCTGAATCATGGGTGAAATATTCAATCCGATCCGAGGCTGGAAGTATATTTGATTTGCTGCTGAGCACTGGCCAACGTCAGCAATTTGGTTGATCTCCTCTGTGCCTACGATGGTTCCCTCCTCTATGATGATATCCTCCAATTTGTAGGAGGAAGAGAAATAAAATAAAACAAATGGACACTAGTTTCTTAGAAGAATAGGCTCTTTCATTATAATTCAGCACACAAAATAACAATGATAAAGGACCTATTTAAAGACTTCTCTTATCATAACCGATTAACCCACTCTCATATCTTAGACTCTTCATCAACCCACTAATTCATGAAGCTGACAGTTTATTCAACTCAGTAATACATGAACTTATTAAATCAGAGAATAAGAAAAGACTCAACATAATAGCATATTGAAACTTCTTGAATGCAATAATGATGCATATTTGGTTTAATTCTCCAACACAATTTAAGTTCAGGAATGGGCAAGAGTTCTGCTCCAATTCCCTTCCGTTAAACAGTACTGTTATTTGCTGCTAATTTGCTATTGCCAACAGCGCTCTGAAATCCGGTATAAGTGTAGACTTCAAGACCTAAAAGAATCGTACCCGAAATTAAGGTAGTGTGCAATTTCTTCATCTGTCACTGTAACTAAGCTTGCATTACTTTTTCCTTTCGAACTTGAACTTCTTTCAATATTGAGAAATACTACTAAACTGATAGTTAGCTAGTTTGTATCTATACTTGCATTACCAATACAAAATTAATGAAATTACCTAGAATGTGTATGGGATCGCTTATTGCCTCCCATTTGGCTGCTTCCAACACTGGAAATTGATGTTAATGTTTTCTTCGAGGAATAAAACTTCTATCATTTGTTGGCAAAAAAAAATGTTACAAAACTAATGAAAGTATCTAGAATTAATTACCTAAAACAAAACAAATTCATCTATATCTTAACTTGAAGAGTGGGCCCCGGGACTTCAATCATCACTCTTATTATGCCATCGTGAGGACAAAGACACAACATATATCATTCAAAAACCATATATATGTATCAACATTCCTCCAACAAATTTACAAGACACGCATCTCTCAAAAACAAAATATAAAAATAAATTGATAAATGTTCAAAGTATTCTACATCCCGTGTTTGGATCTCCATATTGGTGTCCCGCATGCGGTTGCTTTATGATCCGTTGTCACTCTCGAACTCCCTGCCTCACTAATATGACTATTGTTATTATTATTATTATCAGTATCAGTTGAGAAAACTCGGACTTGGATCTGGTTGCAAAAGTAGTGCGTGGAAATAGATTCAGGAGTTCTCCTGTTCCTCAAGTGAGCCCTATAACTACAGTGAACTGAAATCATGAGCCCGAACCTGAACGCCAGAGCTGTGGTGTTGTCATCTGAGATTTCTTTGGCCACATCATAGGGGACGTAAGCACTGAGCATGGGTAATTTGAAACTCACACTTGTCTGATTCGAAGATATTAATAACAACGGACGCAGCGAGGTCGATGCCAGCCTGAGGCCTGTGGGATTGTAGTTGAAGAAGAGTCCGTAGAAGAGCGCGGGTTGGAGCCTGTCGCAGTAGATGTCCCACTTCATGTTGGGGTTTGTGGCTATAAGTGTCACGTCACGCGGTTAAGTAGAGGAGGAGCGAGTCGCATTAATGTGTGGGTACTGTAGGGCCGCTGAGTCTACTCGGAACTCGGGGGCATGAACGCCAACGTGGTTATCACCATTAGGAACCATCTCTATTTGAAATGATTAATTGTTGTTAATGATTTCAGAGAGATGAATATTCAATATTCAGGGGGGCTTGTGCACTCACGGGAGTTTATAATTGGATTGAGTTGAGGTGTTTTTTTTTCAAGGAGGATTTCTTTCTGTTGAACCGTTAGCATGCAATTGCAAAGCTGATTGGATAAGTTATAAGGATGTGTATATATATTCCTTCAGATCCAGATAGATAGTTAGTTAGTTGACTTGACTTGGGATGGATATTGGATTTTGATTTTGATTTTGATTTCTAGTTTGCAAAAGTTTAGGGGGGAGATTGGCTACTCTCACCACCAGCACCAGGGCAAATCCATAACCTCGAGCTGGAAGGATTTATGCGTGCGTGACACCCAACTGAATTATCTTGTATATTGAAACCTTTTGTTTATTTATCTTGTATATTGAGATCATTTGTTAATTTATTTATCTTGTATATTGTGACATTTTGTTTATTTATCTTTTAAAAGAAATAGTAACCAAAATAAATCTCCTTCTTCTGTCCAGTCCAGTCACTTTGCTACATATAATATAGTTATATAAGAGGATTCATTATTGTCATGTAATTGTATTTGTTTTATAATGGTAAAGATTAATGATTCTTTTAGATCTAAATTGATTAATGATTTCTTATAGCGTAGCATAAGCTAGCGTGGTCAAAACTTGAGAAGTAATACATCGTTAGCAATATATATCATCCCACAACCTCATCACCGCTTATATATCTTCAGAGAATAAACACACACACATACATATATAGTATTCTGTGGTGTGGGAAAAACGAGAATTAATCCATGTATTTGGTAATAGATGATGGTGAAATATTACATCTATAGCTAGCAATATCTATATAATATAATTTCATCGATTCAATTCATTTTAAGGGGACAATGCTATCTTCATAACTAGAAATTATCCTAATTGATCCGCTATCTTCCGATCATATCTCATATCACTATCAAGAAAAACAAAATCAAGTATTCTAAATCGTTTGGTTTTCATATCATAAAGATGCAATTGGGGTGGACCATCGTTATATCCCGGTGTAAATCTAAAAAAATAGCGCACGAATGCTAGCTCACCTGTGTGGATTGTACCCAAAGCTCTAACTGAGCACCCACCACGAAAGTACCGTTCGTCTCTGGGCATCAAGCTAACAGTCTGCTTAATCCAGACATGATTTTGATAGTCCTTCGAAATCCATAACACGATCCTGTCTGACTTGTCAACAAACACACCCACACATCCCCCCACCTCAACTACACGTGCACTTCCTCGGGGATAACAATCAGGATCACTTTCATAATCATCATAATCATCCAACACTTGAACATAATCTTGGGGCAGCGGCACCAATCTGAATGTCTCCTCTCTAACGTCAAATGCCACTATCACTTTCTTCTTCTTATGGAGCCAATGTACCGCCCCATTGATGTACACTCCATCATTTCTTATCCCACGCGCTATATCAGAAAGAAGGTGGCTATGTTAGTGTACCTGCAATGGCCTCCACGAAGAATCCGTACCTATTGTGAATATGTTCAACTCAAAATCCCATTTTCTAAGTCCCCTGGGATCAACACAGATGAACTGGAGAACCTTATACTCGTTTGTGAGTGGATTGAACCCAAAGTTATAGTTAGCGGATGCCTTGACCATGGACGATCCTTGTGTTTCTATAAGTACATCGGTACGGGGAATTTCAATAGACTCTCGAGTGGTAGGGTTAAGTATGAAAACAGGGCCAAACCAAGTGGATGCACAAACCAAGCCATGCACAGTTTTCTCATCATGAAAACTGCCTTTGACAGCTATGCACTGAGTCAGGTATGGAAGTTCGGCGACGGGTGTTGGAGCATTCCCTTGTTGCTCTATTTTTGACGAGAAGTAGCGGTTATTGTATTTGAAAAGGAAGTGAGTGGTGTCCCTGCAGCGAAAGTTCAAGAAGGCTGCGACAAAGGAAGGACTGCGGATGAGGGAGGGCCAAGACTTGCATACCCACCTGCACCGCATCATCAGATCTTCTGCTGGTAACCGTGGGAGTATATGCGAGAATATGATTTCAGTTGGAAGCTCTGGGATTGGATGATCATGATAAGCTTCCTGTAAAGTTTTGTCCACAATTATATATATGTAAAAATTAAGAAGAAACAAAGAGCAGCAAAAACGGCAATCATAAAATTTATAAATATACATATATACGTATCAATCTCGGATTTACCATGTTCCTTGAACAACTTTCTCTAGCCACCGAAAGACCTCCAACCACCAAGTCAAAAAAAGCCTTCAAATTAACCCTTAGAACCCAAAAGATCAGGAAGCAACAGAATATATAGCACGCTAAGAGGTAAAGAAGAAACCAAGAGATGCGATGCTTTTGCTAGGGTTTCCCTGGTATTGATAGGAAAACCAAAAAACCATAGTCATACAATAACTGGCCCACTCATATGGTAGACTTTTGATTAGTTTTCTATCTATAGCATTGGAGATGGGCCTGACTGAGTCAACCTTTTGATATGGGAAAATGTTGGGCTTACCACATTTTTATACCACCTCTCTAATAGAGGTGGAGCCCACAAATACAAGCTTAGCATTACCCTTTGATATAACACAATTTCTTTTAAAATGGTGTATAGACTTCCTCTAAGCGTTTCTTATGTTGACAGAAATTGTTAGTGTCTCCCTCTCTCAGCCACCAAGTTCTCCATTGATTGTTATTGTTTCACAATTGGTCGGGGACGGTTAGTTCATTGCTCCTATTATTTCACAAGGAAAATTATTTAGATTTGAAGACAGTAGTTTCTATAAATATATAAAATCAACAAACATGACGTGAATATTTTATTTAGCTTCTTTGCTGTGCGGTCTAATCACCTCGTTTCTCTAGTTTCCTCACGAGGACTGCGGTGGCACATACCCAACCGCGGCTGTACACAATCTTGTGAAAGTCATCATCCACCCACGACCGTACACAATCGAAAGATATAATTACGGCCAATGAACCATTAAGCTCAAAAGCTGCATATAGGTTTTTATGGTACAAAAAGGCAGTATTTATATTTAAGTTACTTGTTTTCGTTCCTGTGCTCAACACTTAGGCTCTGTTTGGTTAATGAAAAATGAGACTTGAGGATGAGAAATTAATTGTTTTCCCATGTTTGGTGAGTTTAGGTATGGGAAGTTGTTACCTGGCTCATGGGAAAGTAGGGGGAAAGTGAAGCCATCCTCCTAACTTGGGTTTTGTCTTCCCTCCCCTCATGGGAAAGTCTGGGAAAATAGGCCATTATTAAATAAACATTTTTCATGATCATGTTGTCCCTTAACAATTTATAATTACAATATATCATTAAATGCATTCTTTTTTTATTTGATTTAATATGAGTATAATTGAAAATTTATACAAACTTTGTTTTCCATTCCTACTCAAAATAAACATGGGAAAGAAATTAAAGTGATATTTTCTAGTTACTTTCCCAGCGTGTACCAAATGTGGGAAAATAATCTTCCATTTCCCATATATTGGGAAATGACATGGGAAATAATTTCCACTCAAATTCGTTCCGTGAACCAAAGGGGGCCTTAGTTCTTACATTATTCTTAATTTATTTATGTAACGTGGAAAGCAACTCAAGCAAGTACACGAACAGAGCCACACCGAAGGCGGAATGATCAGAAGACAAAAACTCAGTAGCGGTATATAAGTTGCTTGTATGCATCTTTGTGATTTGAGTAGTAATCGATCTCCGCCTGCAAACAAAACAAATTGTGAAAAACATCATTATAAGCATTTCAATGAAAGGGCATGCTAATGTTTTCGAGGACATTTTGTAATGGTTGAAATCATTTAATAGGTCAGCATTTAAAAAATTACATCCAAAATGTACCTTGCGGATCCCCTTTATGGCGACCAATAGCTTTTCACCAATTAAATCTGTGAAGACATTGTCTTCCTCTAGAGCTTCTAAAGATTCAGAAAGTGATTTTGGCAACCTTTGTAGTTCTGCGTCAAGGCTAGAAGGATTTGTATCTGTTCAATGAAGAAATATTACTAAGATGTTAGACCACAGTATCTAACATTCTTGAAAAGAAAAAGAACATAACCTCTATGGAAATTTTTTCTTCAAATAGTAGACAGAGAATGAAAAGAAATTAAAACATCAAGGATTATCGTGTCATCTTACCAATAGGTTCTGGGAGAGAAAGATGATTCCTAAGACCATCAATGCCAGCAGCAAGTATTGCAGCCAAGCCTAAGTGTGGATTTGCACACCCATCAAATGATTTGATCTCAAAGTTGCTCACCAAACCATGTTGAATTCCAGGTGGGCACGCAGTTCTTAGTGGAGCTTCTCTGTTTTCTTTTCCCCAGCACTTGTATGCTCCACTCCATGTGTTAGGTTGTATCCGGTCATAACTACACATCGATAATGGTTGAAAATAAGAGAGGATAGACCAAACCAAGCATTTTTCAAGCGAAATAAAAAGTATGAGAAGGCAGTCTCAGCTATGCTATTTCCTACTCAATTGCATAACAAGATAGTGAAACAATTGCTCGCAAGAACAACGATAAGTGCAATAATTCAGGGATAAATAGGATCACCTATTTGGAATTGGTGCTATAAATGCCAAAATTGCAGGAAGATGATGTAGAACCCCAGCCAAGAATTCCTCCCCAACCTTGGACATTCCATGCCGAGAGGATCCATCAGATCCCATAAATACATTTTGTCCATTCTGCCACAAACTGATATGCACATGGGCTCCAGAGCCAATTTCATCTAGAGCATACCTGCCCAAGAGACCACAAAGTTATGTAGAGTAATATGGACATCGAAGGACACAAATTTCTACAGACCTACAGCTCATCAGCTGTCAGGTAAGAAGTAATGTTCAGCCAAGTTAAACATTGAGTCTCCATAGGCCAGAATTCACCTTCACACAAAATTCTAAAATCCAAAAATTCTTTTGGGCCAATTTTAAACTTCTTTTTGCAATGAAATAAGCATCTAGCATACGTAGGGAAAAATTAGGAACCTACTTTGGCATAAAAGTTGCCAACAACCCCATGCTTCCTTGTAATCGACCTAATAACTTCACGGGTATAAATCAAGTTGTCAGCAGCATGCATACAAGCTGTGTGCCCCAGCGCCATCTCAAATTGTCCTTTTCCAGATTCTGCATGTAACTACAGTTTGTACAATGTAAATAGTACAGAAGCTGGTGATACTTGAATTGCATAATCATTTGGGAGGGGGCACTCTTAAACAAAGGATGGCCTAGAGTGCTATATTTTATGTAACTACACCTTCTGTTGAATTTTATTGAAATTTGAAAAGAAAAGAAAAACTTTCATATAAAATATCAGTAAGCATGGTATTATATGGAAAAGTTCCTCCTACAAAATACAAAAACAAGCAGCAAAGATATCATGAGTTTTCTTCTGCACCTGTTCAACAGTAATATTCAAGGAATGGAGAGCAGGAATAACTTCATGAAATAAATAGGAAGCAGCATCATATGATGATGTGGAGCAGAAGGGTGTTGAGTCAAATGGCACCAATTCTTCCTTCCCGTCCCTGCACAAGTTTTTCATTTGTTTTCCAAATTATCACCATGCTTCTAAAATGTTCAATTACAAATTTACCTAGAGACAGAAGTATCCCATACCTTAGTATACTTTTCAAGATAAAAAACTCATTTTCAAAGCCTGCATTCATTACCTGGACAAACAGCATTAAAGGTTTTTTTAAATTCTTTTAGTGAGATAGAAAACATATGAAACTTATTCATGGAAACAAGCAGTCCACCTACAATGTAAACATAAATTTAATAGCTCACATTGCAAACATCTACAATCAAGATCTCCTAAGTAACAGCAGTCTATCAATTTGCATGAATTGGAAAGAAAGAAAAAAGTAGTTTCTATCATTTAGAAGACCCGCATTATTTTTCTAGATTACCCACCCTTAAGCCTCCTTTCTCAAGGGCCGGAGACAGAAATAGCATTAAAGTTAATTACCAGAGTTATCCAAATGTCAGACACAAACTATTCAACATACCAAGTTAAATTCATCTTTCAAAATTTTTGAAGCCCTGCGTAAGGCCTCTCTTGGGCAGTATTCCCATGCTTCACCTGGTTTTAGGTGCATGTCAGCCAAAACCATTTCCTCTTGTTTTATCCTGTTGAGAAAAATATTGGTATTAAATAAAATAGTGGCAATAAATATTTTCACCTGTGCCAGATTTTACCTGATACAGAAGCATATATAAGTCGGAAAATATTATTATTTATTAAATCATGTCTATGGCTACAAATAGTTTGTGTAACTGATAGTATCTTAACAGATGTGATTATGCAAGGACATACTTGTGTGAGGCTGTGTGTATGTATGCATAGATTTTTCTACTTTATCAAAAAGAGTGTGTAGTAGTACATAGTATATCACCAACTACTGCATGCAATCATAACAAACTACAAAGAAAAAAAAAGAGAGGTTTTAACTTAATGTGTAACGAAAATAATAAGCTCCTATAAGAAAAAGTCTAATAAGCTACACATATCATTTCAGTTATACTATACTAAGATAAATACATTGTTACTTAAGAAGACATATGTAGTGTAAATATTTATTTGAAACCTCAGCAGAGCTATTCAGTACCATGGGATTCTCCATTTAGTCGATAAATCAGGCATGAGTCTGATCTCACCCACTCCAGTCAAATTAGTCTCATCAGCCGGACCATCAGTGAATGAAGTCATTCCCATAGAAGCAAAAGTCAAACCAATGCCATTTTTTGTAACAACATAATTGAATCTATTTTTAGGAACAACCTGAAAAGATGGACAAATGGGACAAAAGAAATAAAAATTAAAAATAGTCCTTATCCTATGCAAATTCAAGAAGTCACCTACAAAACTAGAAATTGTTTAGTGGGATAACTTCCCCATTATAAAAGAACATAAGTATGCCATTCTATGAAAAATCAATAGCCACTGGTTTCGTACAATCATTTACTGTACAAGCTTGCTTCAACCAAGAAGGGATAACTAGTTGCACAGGTTGTATCTTTCATTACACAAATTGAATATATCAAATACCATGGATAAAGCATACGAAGTCATGGTTGTACGTCTGGTATGCTATAGTGCTCTAGAATATGGATACCGTGCCATGCGTGAGTATGTGTGTGTGTGTGTGTGTGTATCCTTACACTCTCTCACAAGAATATAACAAAAAAAGTACTCACCAATTTTAAAACTTAAACCAAAAGGAAAAAAACTCACACGACATCTTTGTTGTCCGGAAGCATCAGACCAGATAACACGAACAAATAAGACATCATCTTCTGAGTCATTACCGTTCACTTTCACAAAGTTAGGAGATACACGATTCTCTGACCCAGAGGATTTGACAGAATAATTAATCTTGTAAAACTGAATTGCATTTTGCGAAAAGATGTCTTTAGCAGCCTCAATAGCTTCAGGAATTGAGAGATCACCATCAGCACAAGCATCACGTAGGACAGAAAATACAACTTCACGTGCTTTTTTTTGCACCTGTCAAAGATGAAGTGGCACTTGAAGTGATTACCTGCACAAAATATCTCTACATATACAGTTTATAATATTATTATAACAAACCTGAGTAGAAAGTTTAACAAACCTAAATAGAAAGTTTCAGGAAATGCGTAGCCATCAGTGCTGAACATCACCTGCGAATAAATTATGTTCAACACCCAATGTTTTATTAATGCATTTATTTATTTTGGGGGAATGGGAGCACACATGTACATGGGCATGCACATGCACAAGAAACATCTTTTCATTTTTCTACTCGATACCAGGACCCTTCTGCCGAATTTTCAGAGAACTTAAGATGAATGTATAAACAAGACAGAGAGATACTTTCAGTCAGATCCTGGAAGAATGTCCTAATAACTAGACTGCTTCAATGGAGTTTATTGACAAGAAAAAGTACATATACCATTGTTAGAGTTTACCAAAAGTATTGTATTTACTCCATAAGCTCGCATAGCAAGATATTGTATGATAGTGAAAAACCACTCTATGTGTTCTTAGAATTATAATGCACAGTTCCTTAATTTATTCTAGGCTTAGGCTTCATGAGTTGTTACCTTCTTAATTGGAGCTAGCTCCAAAAGTTCTTTGACTGAAGATATCATCCCATGGACACTGAGCTTAGGTACAGCCAAACCAAAGTCAAGGTACACCTGTAAGTGAAAATGTTTGTGACCAGCAAGGTTATACCGAATGTGCAGAAAAATGAAACTCACTGAGAACTACAAAATTTTACCTGGGGATAAATGGAGGCTAGATATGATGCTTCTTTTGAAAATGGGTAGGATGCATGTAAAAGAACTATACGGCATTTAGAAAATCTCTTGTCCTCGAGCACATCCCGAAGATGAAGAGGATTGGATAGCCGCATATCCAAATCTTTGTCGCCAAAACTAGTTACAAGTAAAGAATATCAATTATTAATAAACAGACAACATAATTTTGAACAATCATAGTATCATAAGGATTGAAGTACTTTTCTATTCTACTTCAAAAAGGACAGGGAATAATAGAATCTGTTTTGTGATTCCTAGAACTTATACATTACATTATTAATATAGAAATCAACATAAAATTTAATTAATTTCCTGACATAACCTTCAGAAACATTCCTTCAAACGGAGACAACAAATTCTAAGTTTTCAGTTCCTTTCTATAAGTATCAGCAATCAATCAAAGTATAATGCAAAACAATTTTGAGAAATTTAAAACTTCCAATTACCCTGTATGTATCTGCATCGGCAAGTCAAAAAGTAGAGCAACCTCCAAACTACGAATGAAGACATAGTCGATAAAACTTTTATTCGATATGCGAACAGGCTTTGCAGCTGGAGAGATAGACTAATCAGTATACCTTGTGGTTAACATAGAGAAAAAAAAACCCCATCCAAATGTGATACTCACCATGTAAAACCTCAGCTAGACCTTCCTCAGCATCCTTCTTAGTGACATTTGTATTAATTTCCAGCCCGCTGCGGTATGCAGCTATGCTTTTCAAGCCAAAAATCTTAGCACCAACTGTAGCATAGTTGATAAGGAATTCAACAAAATCAGGGAGTTACATTTTTACACCAGTGGATGACAAAGTGACATAAATATCCCACAGCTAACTAAAAGGATATGACTTCAACTTTCCAACAAATATTTCGGTGAAAAAATCCAATGTCCAAGAAGATCCAACGGGCAATTCCTAAAAGGAACAGAAAATGGCAAGAACAAATAATTACTATGTGTTTGTTGCTCAGTCAATCAACATAACTAATGATATCATCTATAATACTTATAATTACAACCCAACAACAAAAATGCCTGATAAACTGTAAACATAGATAAACATTAAAAATTAAAAAATTAAAAAACTAGCTGAAAGCATCAAACACTCATCCAAGAAAAATAAAAATGAAGATGCATAAGGTGTCTCACTCACTTCATTAAGAATCTCCTCAGCCAGATGTTCAATTCTCAAAATTTTTCCAACAACAGGTGCAAAATTCTTATGCCAATCTATCTCATGCTTTCTGTCCAACCTCAACCCATCATCAATGAGAATGGCGGAGATTCCTGCAGCTCTGAAGCAAGTGGAGCTAATCGACTGCAATCCGGCGAGTCTGCGATGTACTTCAACTCCATGCAAGGTCTTCTCACACCCATAGAGCTCGGCAACATCCTTCAAATTTCTCTGCAAGACAAAACGCAGCGTTTGGCACATATCAAAAGTTCAGCATCTCGATTTGACAAAACAGAACATCAGATAGATACGATACGATCATAATCAACGGATAATTCAGTGTCGTTGACTTGAGTTTGACCGCGCCTAGAGGCGTAAGATAGCAGGGAAGCGTTGAAGGGAGGCGGAGACTGGAGAGAGAGCAGTGCGCATACCTTGAAGGAGAGGGAATGGGGTGCGTAGGATAAGGCGTCGCCGTTGGCTTCAGAGAAGCCACTAATGAAGGGTAAGGCAGAGTCAATAGAGACGATGTTGTGTGCGTGGGCGTCGACGAGCTCCGCCTCCATCACCGCCTTTCTCAGCTCCGTCAAATCCATGCCGTCGACTGTTTCTGCGAGCGTTGAACCGGGAAAGCTTGAGGTCGTCAGCCTTTCATAAATTATAACAGACGAAATTTTTTATTTTTTATACCGAAAGAGAGATCATGGGTTTTTCTACTTTTGTCTCTCAACACATTCTTCAATATGTCGGTTTTAACGGTCCAAAACTGTTATATCACTTGTGCATTTTTCTCCTCTCTTGTGGTGTGTAGGGATTTTGAACCTTTATCTATATGGGTATAAATGGAACAACTCCAATAAAATAATCTTGAATGTTAGGTTGGTTGGAAGAGATGGGCAGAGATATAAAGTAAGCTAGTTTGCTAGGCTAATGTCTTCATTGGCTGTGAAAAGAAAAGGAAAAACACAAGAGGTCGACTGAGAGCTTGCCGACTTTTACTGTTTGAGAAAAATGTCGTTGAAAAAAAGTTTGGAGATTGAAATATTAGAATCGTCATTGACAAACAATTAATCTTGTTAGCTTACATGGTGTTATAAACTTACACATATTATAACACGTGTATTTTTACTTTATAAATTAGTCATCCACTGATATTATAACAAGTGGATTAGTAACACTAACTACATGGCACAACGAAAATCACCACAAAAAATTATTCATATGTAGTATCGATAGGAAGAGTACCATGATAGCACCAGAAACTAATTTAATGCAAACACACACCTTTTTAATTTAGAATGGGAATTAAAATTCTTAACTTGGTGTTTTAATTTTCAAAGCATTTACTGAATCTTGGTGACAAGACCGACGCTAGCGCTGGGCAACTTGATCCTCTAGCTCTTATAGTTGTATATGCCCATAGAAGATGAAAGCGACCTTCAATTTATCTAATTTTCTTTGTGTCTGACGCTATATTGGTTTGATTTTAGAGTTTTCTTTTTTGGGTTTGCATGACAATCATTATCTCACCTTCATATATTGCACGCTTTATAAAAATTTTGTATATCTCATTGCATACAACTTGTTCTTATGCAGTTAAAAAGAAGAAAAAAATGAAGAAAAAAAAATATCATCTCTCTTCTCCTACCCAGCCAAACCCTCTCTCCCTCCCGACTCAACCCCACCTCTCAGCCATCCCTCTCTCGTCGCCCACCCCCACCCCCACCCCCAAACCCAACTCTCTTTCTCTCTCCTTCTCCCTCCCAACTCACCTCAACTTCTCCAAAAAGCTGTCCAGAAAGCTGTCCATAACAAAGCTCATCCATAAGAGCACTTCCACCAGTTAGCCCATTGCCATGGCAAGGGGAGCCCTAGGGCGGGTACTATTCACTTGAATAGTGGCTGCCCTAGCACAAAAAAAATTGTGTTTCCAGCAATGCAAGGCTTGCCATGGCAAATACTATTCATTTTTTTGTTTTTTTCACAACTTTGTTTACTTAAACAATTAATTTGGATAATATTTTCGGATAAGATTTTTGGGTTAAAAGTCAGTATTGGTTGGTATTTATAGAAAAAAAAATTCAGTATTTTTTTCGAATTTTTTTAAATTTTTTCCGATTTTTTTTCATTTTTTTATTGGGCAAAAAATTGCCTGCCGTTGGATTGCTGGAAAAAACTAATCGGAGAGCCCAGGAGCTTCCACGTGGCATAGAGCTGTTGGGGGTTGCTTTTTGGATTTTTTTATTCGCGAAAAAATGGCTGTCGTTGGATAATTTTAAAAAGCAAATCGGATGGCCCAACATGCGACACGTGGAATCATGCCGTTGGGCGGCTACTGTAGCGCGCGTCAATTTTTTTTTAAACTGGGCGCGTGCATTGCACGCGCCAGCTTTAAAAAAATTTTAACAGCATCGCTGACGTTGTCGTGACGTCAAACTCGTTTTGTTGCTCGGGCTGGACCTCCCCAAGGGCTAGCCCAGGCAAATTTTTTTTGCTGGGGCCCACACCTTGCCCTGGCAGCTTTGTGTTGCTGGAAACAACATTTTCCCCCAGCCCTTCCCCCAGCCTGCTTGCTGGAAATGCTCTAAAAGAAGAAAAATGACTTGGGATATTTAATATATGAAAGAGAGAATAGGCCAGGTTCATCCTTTTTGGCGTGAGGAATATTTCTTTACAGAGCTTTGTTTTTGGACGTAAAAGTGAGATTTGGACTTCAAGAACCAATATTGAAACCCATAATCTTTACCTATTTGAGAAATTTGGGATTTGAATGTAGGTCATGGAGTCACAAGATCATGGTGATCAAAGAGAAATCAACGGTGTAAATATAGTAAAGAGCAAAACATAAGGAAGAACTAGAAGATTTTGGGCAAGAATTGAACAAAATTTTTACGGTTTTTTCAAAGCACCCATTTTATTTTTCTTGACGACTTTCACTTCCCAAATCATATTTTTCTCTGAAAACTAGACAAAGCATCGGTGGTAGATTTGACCGAATAGCTATAGGAGCGTCGGCAATCTCTTCTGCTTCGGGCTGCATCATCTTAGTTGGTTTGTGCAGATCGGAGGCTTGTCGTTACGACGATGCTGGCGATGTTGCTTGGGGATATCAGGAAAGTCTCAAACCAGGCATGGCAACGACTGCTAGTTTTCCAGATCTGAGGCTTGTGGGTTTGGTGGTCTAGATCGCCGGGGAGGGGGGGGGGAGTTGAGGGCTTTGGAGGTTAGGCTTGATTAGAGAAGATGATGCAGCCCGAAGCCGAGGAGAGAGAGAAAGTGTTCTGGTCTGGGTTGTCAGAGAGAGAGAGATTTTTTTTTAAATAATTTAGACAGTAAAATAATTTTTTATTAATTTTTGGTCCACATGGAAGTCTACGTCATAAAAAAAAAGGGTCCCATTTTTGACATGTCAGCATTTAACAAACTGACTAACAGTTTGGCTAACGGAGGGGGCAAATTGTAGGTTTTCTGCGACGTTGAGTATGTACTCGTAAATGTCCCCAAAATCGGGTATGTACTCATAAATGACCCTATAGGTTGGGGGTTTACTGTAGTTTACCATAATAATAAAGTGGAGTATTCCATTTTGTGAGTCTTGAAAATGAAATGCATATGAGCCTTTCTCTCACGGCAGATACAATATTATCTTTAGGCCCGTCCATCACGAGAAAATATAGAATAGTACTCTGTAGTACTTCCATTCAAAATATGCTATGTGTCATTTTTTAAAAACAAATTATAGCTTTTTTTACAGCTGGATTTAAAATTCTTTTTATTTATTTAGAATATGATTTTTATTTATTTAAAAAGTTAAAGAACCCAAAGACGCCGCTGGAAACCACCTCCCACAACCCAATCCCCATCTTTGTACTGCCACCTAACCCAATCACCCCTTCAGGGACTGAACATGTTTCTATAGTATGCAGGTAATTCTTTTTCGGTTTGTTGATCATCATTTGTACAGAAACTACAAAGGGGATCATCAGTTTTCGTGATGATCCGGCAATCGATTTCTTTCCTTCTTCTCTCTAATATCCTCCAATCAAAAAAGTCCAGCTGTAAAAACAGCATAATTTATTTTAAAAAAATAACACATGTCATATATATATAAAACAAAAGACAGAGAATGGTGAAACATTCAAAATACCAAGAAATGCCCTTGGTTAATTCAAACATTAAGAATTAAAATTATTAATTAAATGAAGATAATATGATAAATTCACATTTTTTCATATTAAAAAAAATTAAAATTAAAAACAAAATCAGATACCAAGCACTACTAAGTACCTATGTTATCTTTTCTTAATTCTAAAAATAAAATAAAATAAAAAAGAAAAAGAAAGCTAGTATTTTGAATGGAATTACCATTAGTTGACGTAGTAGTATAATGCCGTTCTATAATTTCTCGTCCATCACGTGGTTGCATATGGCAAGCAGTTTTCCATAGACCGTCTGACGAAAGCGTAATCCTACTTGCATTCAATGTTTAAACGCCAAATGTCATACGATTTTTCCAATTTGCTAAAGTCGGGCTAGCTCCATAGGATAAGGATTCGCATTTTATGGAATATACCAGCTGTACGTAGGGATAATGAAAATACTTATAATTAATAGTACAAATATAAAATAATATTTCAAAAACAAAAATATCAAAAATATTTCCATTTAAAAAAATAACCAATAATACATATATTTTTTATTTTTAAACAATTCATTGAAAAATTCCAATCATCTTGCACTATCTATATCCTCGATACTTGTAGTTATAAACACCGATATACAATAAGAAAAATACTTGACTCATTGTATTGTATGTAAGAAACTATTCCTCCTTGCAAATAAATTACAGTATAATATGTATACATAAATTCTTGCTAGTGATTATGTTTTTGTTTATATAGGAAGGAGCTAAGGAGGGCATCCAACACTTTTTGGGAGATAATTAATTTTGTAAATTAGACTACAAATTTTGAGAGGAATTAATATTAAATGAGGCTAGCTAGCTAGCTAGACCAGTCCACCGACTTAACTTGGTGATTTTCCAAGCAAGTGCAAAAGGTCCATACGACAACTTGGACACGCAAGTTGCAATGTGCAAGACAACAAAAAGTTAGGTTGCACTTGAAGCCTATATATAACACGCCCCCTCTTGCTTACCAAATTTCATCTCAACTTAATTCCAACTTCCAAGGATATAATTTGTTTGGCAGCAAATTTCATTCAATGATGATGAACACCCAAGCATTTCTCAGCCTCACCTTGGCCCTCCTCTTCGCAGGTAGACATAACTTCCTCTGTTATTTTCTTTTTCCTTAACATCTAAATATCCACATATATATATGCATTGGGCTCCAAATATTTGATAGGCTAAAAGTATCTTCAACCGATATGTCAAATTGTCACACTTTTTTCAAAGTCTCAAATTGCTACATAAGCCATCAAATTCAAATTTAACATTTTGTATTTGATATCTCCTTGGAGATGCTTCAACAATGACGTTCAAGAGAGGGCTAGAAAATTTTCACACAATGGATTGAACTATAATTTCACGTAGATATGTTTGTGGTTATAGTATCAAATTAATTATAAACTCATTATTTTTTCGTTGGCATAATGCAGGTGCTCATGCAGCTACGATTACCTTCACAAACAAATGCTCCTACACCGTATGGCCAGGAACCCTAACCGCCGACCAACAACCTCAACTGTCCACCACAGGCTTTGACTTTGAGTTAGCATCCCAAGCTAGCAGCTCAGTGACCACTCCAGTTCCATGGAAAGGCCGCTTCTGGGGCCGAACTGGATGCTCCACCGACGCCTCCGGAAGGTTTAGCTGCGCCACAGCAGAGTGCAGCTCCGGCCAAGTCACATGCAATGGAAACGGCGCCATTCCACCCGCAACCCTAGTTGAAATCAACATTGCAGCCAACGGGGGCCAAGACTTCTACGACGTGAGCCTCGTCGACGGCTTTAACCTTCCCGTTTCCGTCTCTCCGCAAGGCGGCACCGGCGACTGCCAGACCTCTACCTGCCCCGCCAACGTCAACGATGCCTGCCCGGCTGAGCTGCAAGTGACCGGGGCCAGCGGCGTTATCGCCTGCAAGAGTGCGTGTACGGCTTTCAACCAGCCTCAGTACTGTTGCACTGGACCTAATGACCAACCGTCGACATGCCCTCCCACAAACTACTCTCAGATATTCGAGAACCAGTGCCCTCAGGCTTATAGCTACGCTTACGATGACATCAACAGTACCTTCACATGCAGCGGTGGACCTAACTACCTTATTACATTCTGCCCATGAGCCGACAAATTAATATATAGAAACTAGAAAAGAAAATATAAACAAATATATATACTCTCTATATAGAAATATTTCCCTTTCTATACTTTCGATGAAATAAAAAGTACGTGGTCCGGTGCTACTACTAGTACTGGTTTTAGCTTGCAATGAAAGCACTTTTTGAATATTTGACGATATTTGCTAATCTTTCAAGATTATCAAGAGCTAGCTAATGGATATGATATTTACGTGTATTATTTATGTTTTACTGAGGTATTTTGAATTTTCCTAAGGTTATTATTTTTTTAGGACCTTTGAGAGGGGCGATAATATATTAAACTTACATATACTATACGGATGTTAAGACTTGAACCCAGAAACTTATCTAAGGAAGCAATTACTCCGAACCAAAGATTTTCTTAAGGTTTTGTCAACCTTTGTAAAGAAGGAAAAAAAAAACCTAGTATGTGCCTGTTTTACCAATTTTACCCCCATTAAAAGAAATGCATAACAAATGTAACAGAAGGTAAACAAGTAATCAGAATTTCTTTTTCTGAAAATTGAAATTATATATTTTAAAATACGAAGATGATTAGATGAGCACATGTCTTTTTGTAAGTAGCTGGGGATAGTAAAAGAAGACTCACTTTCAAATCAGACACCAGACTGCCGAATAACGAAAAATAAATAATGTCACTTTTACCCCTACTAGAGAACCGTTATAAGGGTAGTTTGGTAACTCAAATTTGTCCTTCCCAATCCAATCAGGAAAATGGTAGTTCGACATAGAGGTGTCAAACGGGACGGGTCGGCCCAGCACGGCACGAGCCCAGCCCATTTAAATGAGGCACGGCACGGCACGAGCACGAATATTAATGGGCCGTGCTCAGCACGGCACGAAAACTTGGGCCGGGCCGGGATCAAAAAATGAGGTCCAATGGACCGGGTCGGCCCATGGCCCGACATGGGGCTGGGCTTGGCCCGAGCACGCTTCAAGCACGGCACGAGCCCAAGCACGGCCCACTTAACATTTTTTTCTTTCTCAAAAGTCAAAATGCAATAATTTGACATCTAATGTCATTATTTTATATTTTTTTTTAATCATAAATATTTATTTGATATCTTTCATTTTAGGGAAATTACTTGGGTCCTTAATTAATTAAACATATCAACTACAAATTAATTAAACAATATTGGACTTGATATCTAATCAGTACATATGACATATATGCTTCTCTTATGATCAAAGCAAGACATTATTTCACATATAAAATAATAAGTTGTTTAAAGATGAAAAGTTGAAGTGGACTTTGTAGAGTTTGACACTTTTTGCCCTCTGTCATTTTTATATTGTTTGGATGTTTGATTGATTAATGTTTTCAAATAGTTCATCATTTCTTGCCTCTAATTATATTTTTAATGTTTATAATTTGAATTATCTAGTGAAAAAAAAATGAAGTGAAAAAAATTCAAATTAAATGGATTGGTTCTTGGGCCCGAGTATGGCACGAGCACGAGCACGGGCACGGCACGAGCCTGGCCCGACCCGTTTCAATATGGACATGAGCTTTGGGCCGGGCCGGGATCAATAATTTTACTAAATAGGCCGGCACAGCACGGCCCGATAAATTAAATGGGCCGGCCCGGCCTGATACGAAAACGTTAAAAGCACGAGTTTAAATGGGATGGGTCGGCACGACACGGCCCGTTTGACACCTCTAGTTCGACAAATAGAAAATGAAATGGTAAAATATCATATGTGGCCTTGTCCAAAATTCTCTTCAGCCCGATTAGCCCAAAGCCCATTATCTTCTACGGCTGCTGGACTTTACGTATATGCAATCTGGGCCTAATTTTGACGACAGGGTCCTTCAGAGGCAAACAGTTCCCGCGGGTCTGCCCAGAGATGGGAGTAAAATTATTCACTTGAAAAAGATGGCACCGAGTCAGATCTGTGCGGCAAAACAATTTACCGTTTACCGTTGAAAGTTTGCGGGGCAAATAGCTGCAGGGTCTTAAGCCGTGGCTTCTTCTCGAACATCGCTTCCCTTTTCTTCTTCTTGTTTCTTCTGGTTCTTCCATGGCGTCGTCAAGCTCTGGAAGTTCAATTCCCGCTCTAGGTACTTTCATTGTAATTTATTATTATTATTATTTTGCACATTGCCACTCTCTGATCTTGAAAATTTGACCGTTTGGTGAGCTATCATCGCAGAGGCTGTTCAAGTTCTGGTTTCGTCACTCGCTGATGAATCCCCCATGGTCAGAGAGGCCTCCATAGCCTCGCTCAAGGACATTGCTGCCCTGTACTCTCTCTCTCCATATATATATATATATATATATAAATTGTGTGTTTATATGTGTATATTGAACTGTAATTGCCATTGCAGGAGCCCTCTCTTAGTTCTCGATTGTTGCTCGGCCAGTTCGCGAGGAGGACGTCGGGTATTTTTCAGTTCTTTGTGTCTATTTTCTTGGAATTGAAGTTGGGGTTTGTTTCGATATATTTCCAATTGGAATGTGTGGTGTGATCGGGGTTTTTATTTTTACTATGACGGGTTCAGCGTTTTGGTAACATGGCTGGGGTTTTCCAAGTGATGGCATACGGAGTCAGAGCCTTGGACAAGGACGAAGTGGACCCTCTTTTCATGTCTAAGATCGCGAAGATTGCCACCGCAGAGATCATCTCCTCCAAGGTACCTTGTGTTCTTCATCCGGATGATGCTCCGTTGATTTCTTAGCAGAATTACTTGCGTGATTTAATTGAAGTGTTTTGTTTGATATAGGAGCTCAATACAGACTGGCAAAGAGCTGCATCAGGCCTTCTTGTTTCAATTGGCTTACATTTACCAGACCTAGTAAGTTTCTTAGTGTAAGCAGAAACTCACATTTTCCTATCTCACACTTATGCTATGACTTCACTCACTCTCTCCCACTCCCTCCCTCCCTCCTGGTTCTCCCTGAGATTCTTCATTAACCTTTCCTTCTACTCTGTTTTTCTTTTATTTTCTTAATTTGGCAGATGATGGAAGAAATTTTTCTACATTTACCTGGGCCAAACTCAGCTTTACCAGCTATGGTTCAGATACTAGCAGACTTTGCTTATGCTGATGGTTAACTATTAAACTATCATTTTGTTTGTGCTTTTTGTGGAGCTTGGGGTTTTCATATGTTATTGCATTTCTTTTTTGGCTTAAACTAAAATGTGTCATACCTTATTTCTTTTGCTTTAATTATATTAAAGCATTGCAGTTCACCCCACGATTGAAAAATGTGCTTTCACGGGTTCTACCTATTCTTGGAAGTGTACGAGATGTCCATCGACCGATTTTTGCTAATGGTATGCTGAATTGTCTTTGGCCTCTTTCTCCTGTTGAATTTCTCTTTGCCTTCTAATATTGTGAAGTGAAATTGGAGTTTACCAACATGTTTTCCGGTCTCCTTGGAATTAACTGAAACAACTTCATCAATCTGGCCAAAAAAAGAAAAAGAAAAAAACTAAGTCTATCTGTTTGATAGAGAAAAAAAAGGAAGAATATCTTAAATTGATTAACTCATGGTTAACATGCTTGATTGCCCGGTCCACCATGGCTTACTTAACCCATTCTCGTTTTAGGTTGGTTTCTAGTTTGGTTTTCTATATATGACTGAGTAATGCTGTCCAAAGCATGGCATCATTGAATTCATAAACACAGAGATGCTGGCCATTAGTTTGCGATTAATTACAAGACTCTTCCATGTGCCTGTTTTTACGTAAAGTTTGTAAGAAGTGTTTATTTGGAAGTTGTAATTTGCTGCACATTTTCCGTTTCTCTCTCTCTCTCTCTCTTGCTTGCTAGTATTTGACACAGGTTAAGTAAAACGGTTACTAAGCTAATTTTACTCAATTATTTTCCCTAGTCATGTTCACTGTCTTTGTCCTATTCTTTTCAGCTTTTAAATGTTGGTGTCAGGCTGTTTGGCAATATAGTCTTGACATCCCTTCGCATTCACTTCTGGATGGTGACATCATGTGAGATCAAGTTTTTGTTGTTCGTAGTGTTACATTTTCTTCAGTCCCTTTATTTTTCATGTGCCTTATGTCTAAATGACTAAAAACTGCAGGTCATTTCTGAATTCTGTTTTTGAGCTTTTGTTGAGAGTTTGGGCGGCTTCACGGGATCTAAAGGTTTGAAAAGTATTTTTGCTCTATTTCTTATTGTAATATCTCACTATTTTCCATTGTGATTCTGTTTTGTTTATCTCCATTGCCATTTATTTTCTTTTTTCCCTGTATCTATGGCATGCTTTTGTTCTTTTCTTTTTTTTTATAAGAGAACCCATTGCATCATTTTATTGACATGTTCTGGTTTTGATTAAACTCTTTTTTGAGTAGGTTCGCATATCTTCTGTAGAAGCATTAGGTCAGATGGTTGGCCTTATTACCCGGACACAATTGAAGGCGGCTTTACCCAGACTTGTCCCCACAATATTGGAATTGTAAGATTGATTTGTCATACATTACTTCTTCATCCTGGCTGTATATGTTTATGATTCTGCAGTATACATATATGTTTTATGTACAAGTCTTTGTTAAAATAGTTTCTTTCTGATAGTGTGCTTATATATTTTCAAGGACAAACATGGATACACACATCCTCACTAATTTCACATCCATACACATCAATAAGGGTCATACGTTTTTTCTTTTTCCTGTCAATCAGGTATAAAAGAGATCAAGATGTTGCCTTTTTGGCAACATGCAGTCTTCACAATCTCTTACATGCTTCTTTACTGTCAGAAAGTGGTCCTCCTTTACTTGATTTTGAGGTATGCACACTATATCACGTTCTTTTGTTTTTAATGAGTTTGTCGGTTCTGAAGTTTCAGAATACTGCTTTTGCAAAGGTTGAGTTTTTTTTGTTTTTTTTTTTTTTTTTTTTTTTTTTTTTTTTTTCTTTCTCTTGGTTCAACCTATTCCTTCAATGGAAGGAAACACCTAATCTGTTGTAAAGTGAGACCATGAGTATGGCCTTATCACGGAGGAGGTCGTAGTGTACATCATAGGCTTTAATTACCAAAAGTTGTTTTCTCTTTTGGGCTACTACTAATTTTGTTATGCATGTGCGAGATGAAAAAAATAATCTATTTGGTGCTGGTTTGTTCTCATGATGGTTTGCAGGAGCTCACAGTCATTCTATCAACACTCCTGCCGGTGGTTTGCATCAATAATGACAACAAGGAGCATTCAGATTTCTCAGTTGGACTGAAGGTGTAAAAATGTATTTCTTTATGATTTGTTGAGAGTAGAATCCCAGATCATGAGTTAAGCCTTGCCTTACATTCTACTAATTTTCATTATGAGTACTATTATTTATTGCTATTAATTTTCCATCTGTCAAATTGGTTGAATTTTGAGATATTTTCTTTACATCTTGCCTTTATGTGTACTTTATATCTTCTTCCTTGGATTAGCTAGCATGTTTTATCCTGAATAACTTTGACATTTGTAATAAGTAGGATACATTTTCTGTTCTTTTTTCCCAGAGCAACAAAAGTTGCTTCCTGCCTTTTGCTTCATGGACTTTGTCCACATAGTTTTCTGTGGTTTTGTGCTGATGTCGATGGCTAACTGTTTCAGTAGTCAATAATTATGTTACTTCTTTTTCTTGTGGGCAGACATATAATGAAGTTCAACGTTGCTTCCTGACAGTTGGTTTGGTATACCCTGAGGATTTATTTGTGTTCCTTATTAATGTGAGTATCATTTTCTTCCCCAAGTGTTTATTCTTATTGCTAAGTATTTATCTAACATACAAATGAAGTTGGTGTTCTTTTTCTGTATTAGTTTTCAAAGTATAACTAAATTTTGTGGTCTCTTTTGTTTTGTGCATGTCTGCTACCAGAAATGCAGATTGAAGGAAGAACCTTTGACGTTTGGTGCGCTATGTGTTCTAAAACATCTCTTGCCAAGGTTTCTTTACCTTCTGTTGCTTTGTCAGTGGCCTCTATTTCGATTCTCTTACATGATCTGACATCCTTATGATTTTATTTGGAGGCTATCTGAAGCTTGGCACAATAAACGGCATAATCTTGTTGAAGCTGTACAATTCTTGCTAGATGATCAAGATTTAGGTGTCCGAAAGGTGCTTTCAGAGGTATGTCGTATTAATTGATTGTTGTAAGCCTTGGGTTTTTCTTTTTTGCAAGACTTTCAGTAAAACACTTATGTCATTCCTGTCTCCTAATTTCAGATTGCTTTCCTTTGGTGTAGTTGATTGTCGTTATGGCTTCACATTGTTACTTAATTGGTCCGTCTGGGGAGCTGTTTGTGGAATATCTTGTGCGTCATTGTGCTTTAACAGATAAGGATAGTAATGACCTTGAGAGGTCCAAGGATGCATCAGGCAACCCAGATATTCCTTTCCAATACAAGAGATTGGAGGTTTGCATCTGATTCTATTGATTCCAAAACATAAATGCTGCGACTGATCTTTTTAACTGTCACAAAAGAAATTTATAGTTTGATGGTCTTAACATTTATCTAACATTAGCAAGAAAGAAAATGATAAAATCTTGATGAATTATGGCCCTGAAAATCTCTCATGTCAGTTACAGAATAAGGTGGATTTTTCCTTTAATATTAAAATCATAGCGCTTTCTAAGGGTCAGATTTGTGGAGGAGATTCAAGGTGTTTATAGGAAAGTAATACTTGTTGCCTAATATAGCATTTAATACTAGTTTGCTCTTCTTAGGTGAAAATTGGGACACTTTGTCCAGCAGAGTTAAGGGCAATCTGTGAAAAAGGCCTTCTTCTGCTGACTATTACGATCCCAGAAATGGAGGTATGCCAAATTGGCAATTCTGCATTCAGTACATCTGCTGTTATCTGATTGTTTGAGCTTCGGAAGGGGTTTCTGTGTACAAATATAAATGGTAATGTTATCTGAAATAAAATAAAAAACTTTTCTATTTTTGTGCAGCATATACTTTGGCCTTTTCTACTGAAGATGATTATTCCACAGGCTTATACTGGTGCAGTTGCTATGGTAGGACTTCCTCTGCATCCTCATATTATGCCCCTTTTTTGCATGGAGGTTATTTTAGATACCCAAAATTCAGCTGTTTTATTTGAATGCAATTTCCTAGTTTGTGGGGGCATAGATCTCATGAATTTTAACACTTTCTGCTGCTACAGGTTTGCAGATGCATCTCAGAATTGTGCAGGCATAGATCTAATAGCAATACTATGCTTGCTGAGTGTAAAGCTCGTGCTGATATACCAAATCCCGAGGTAGATTTCTTGCTATATTGAATTTTAGACTTCTCCTCGTGCACTACAAGACGATTGATCTCAGCAACCCTTGTTTTACTTGTGTTAATAGGAGCTTTTTGTTCGCTTGGTGGTGCTTTTGCATGATCCTTTAGCGAGGGAGCAGCTGGCGAGCCAGATTTTGACAGTAAGCATATCATAATCATATTCCTTTTTAGTGTGTTTCTAGCTTTTGTCTTAAATTAGAAGGATTGGAGGAATTTCATGTTATTGTTTATGCTATTTCTTTTCGAAAAATAAATAAATGATATTGGTAATGCTCTGGTGACCATTCACCTTATATTGGAATAGTCTGTAATTCTTCATATATTGCCTTGCAGGTTCTTTGCTATCTGGCACCTCTCTTTCCAAAAAATATCAACTTGTTTTGGCAAGATGAGGTATATCATCATCATGCAGCTAGAAAAATACGTATTTGAGTTATATTTGGAAGGTTTTATGTTGGAATTTATGTACTGTCATGTTCTCATGAACTTCATTGGGTTAAAAGGTGGTAAATACCCTTGTGACAAAATCTTTTCAGAAAGAGAAGAAAAAGTAGTATCTGATGATTATCCGATTTGTGTTACCCAACTTCTATTGTACCAAGTTCCCTGCTATTTCAGTTTTTTTGTTTGTTCTTTCTTTGGGAGGAGAAGAGAGGGGACGGTGGGGGTTGTTAGGTTTCTGTTTTGTTCCTGAGGGACTTTTCTTGTTCATCCTGTTTTTGCAATTTCTTCTATATTAAAATTGTTGTTTCCTGAAAAAGAATTTGGCAAAAGATTTCACAGCTAAGAATTTACCTTTGTTTATGTGTTCTATTCTTTTTACTCAATTACAGTCAAAATTAATGACTAGTAATGCAGTCTAATTAATTTTGTTCTTTGGTAAGCTCTAGATTCCAAAATTAAAGGCATATGTTAGTGACACAGAAGATTTAAGGCAAGATCCTTGTTATCAAGAGACTTGGGACGACATGATAATCAATGTAAGTGCAATTGAACTTTGAAATTCGATGATGTTTCATTTTTCATAAGTATTCTTGATTTTTGGGCAAAAAACTCATTGGCAAAGTTTTCAATTTTTTTTCTAACATGTTTCTGTAACGTCATAGTTTTTTCATCTTCCTTCTTTTCTTTTGGAATGGGAGCAATGGGGTTCATGTTGTAAATTGGTAACATATAGGCTCATCCAGATTTCATTGACAAAGAAGATGAATTAATCACTTTGATTTGTGTGACAGTTTTTTGCAGAATCTTTGGATGTGATTCAAGATTCTGACTGGGTGATACCCCTTGGAAATGCAATTACGAAACAGTATGGACTTTATACATCTGATGACGAACACTCTGCACTTCTTCATCGGTATTATTCCTTCCAAGCCAGTGTTGCTTTACTAGATCTTTACTAGATATGAGGAAGCAATGTTATGTTCAGTATTGCTTTATTATGCTCCAAAGAGAGACTATTTTGAATGTGAGCAACGAATTCATGATGCTTGCTGAATATTAGAATGTGCACGGTATCGTTGGGTGTCTTACTTTTGTGGTAGATTGGGGTTTCCACTATTGTATCGATTGAGTTGGGAGATGTTTTTAAAATTTGATTATTATCTTTTCTATTGCAGCTGCTTTGGTGTGTTTCTTCAAAAAGTGAATGACAGGGCCTATGTCCGGGATAAGATAGATTGGATGTATAAACAAGCTAACATCACAATTCCAACAAATAGGCTTGGTTTGGCAAAAGCCATGGGGCTGGTATCTTACTATTCATAGTTAATTTTCTACTCTTTCCATCTTTCCAGCATTTGTTATTCATTCCTTTTGGCCTCCCACATCCAGGTTGCAGCATCCCACTTGGACACAGTCCTGGAAAAGCTAAAAGGCATTCTGGATAATGTTGAGCAAAGCATTTTTCGAAGGTTCTTGCCAGTCTTCTTGAATGCTATATATATACATTGTTAGATTCTCTCTGTGTGTGTCTCTACTCTACCCCAAAAGCTTTCTAGCTTTCTTTCTTTCTTTCTTTTTTTTAAAGGATTTTGTTACTTCTCATTATGCTGATTACTTTATTCATGATTTTGTGCTTTTCACTTGTTATCCAGAGTATGTTTGCGGATCATTAAGAAATTGCCATCATGGTACATTCAAATTAAACAAAAAGAAATTCGGTGTTGAAAAAAGTAATTATGTGTTTACATTATGAAAGCTTTATGCTGTTCATTAGTACACCGCATACACTGAAACTGCGCAAACTTCCTCCTTTACTGGTGAAAATTTCAGACCACCACTTTTAAATTTCTCCACTACCCTTCAAGAGCAGGCACTGGGATATTGTGATTATGCTTCTGGATTTAATAGTCTGTCAAGCTTCCCTTCAAAATTTTGGGAGGGAGGTGGAGAACATGCAACAAATATCATCTGCAATGGTTTTTTTTTCTCTCCCACAACATGTTGTATCTATAATGCAAGTGGAAACTTTAAGGTGGAATTCTCTAAAAACATAAAACTAGGTAACAATTTACCTAGCATGAAACAAATGTCTATCAAATAACTTTTAAGATGAGTTCCTTTGATATTTTCAGTAAATGTAGGTACTCATTTAAAAAAATTGCGAGAAATTGTTGACTGTGATGCAGTATACCTTTATTTCTTTGTTATATTATTTATTTATTTTTATCTTTTCCGAGTTCCAATTGGCAATTTTCTTTTTGTATGGGTGTAAATATATATTTTCTTATCATATACAGCATAAACAATTTTGTTGCTTCATTTATTGCAGATTCTTATCTTTTTTCTCTGATGATTTTAAAACCGAAGACTCTGACGATATACATGCTGCTTTGGCTCTAATGTATGGATATGCTGCAAAATATGCTCCGTCAACAGTAATTGAAGCCAGAATAGATGCACTTGTGGTATGATGTCTCGTCTTTTTCTTATTCCCTCTTACAATCAAGAAATAAATTTTTTTTTTCTCCCTTCTTTGTACTCTGCGAACTTATATCGTGATTCGTTAAAGTGTTAATATTATTCAAAATGTAAAAGTCTAAGAATAGAGAGCAGGTGCTCACTCTCTGTATGCTTCACATAAGCTTAGCCATAGTTTCTGGCCAGGGATGTGGGTGATACAGGTTGTTCATTCATACAGATGCACAAATATACATGCATTTCCTTGACTAAGAATATCCAGTAGTTGTATTTCTTTAGTATAATGTGATGTGAGTGTAGACTCACACAGATACTGGAAATGAAGTCATGTGGTCTCATGGCTTGAATTTTAGTATAATGCAATCTCAGTGTAGACTTACACAATATACTCGGAGTATTAAGTCACAAGGTCTCATATGCTTGTGCACAAATTCCCTCGTGCACGTCCATGTACATACAACAAGATGCACATTTAAAAGAAACTTCGGCAGCCTTTTCTCCCTTTTAAAGTGTAAATACATAATGTACTAAGAATCAATGGCATGAAAAGAGGAGATTTGTATAATATAAGTTAGTTAGGTTTGCCACATCATTTTTGGCAGTTTAATTTTAATGAGAATTTCATAAAAGTTTACAAATTCCAGGTTCCTATTGCTTAGAATTCTGACCCTATAATGAATTTAAAAAGGCCAATTTATTTGTAAGTAATCATAAGAATTTATAAATTGATTACTTATTTTTAATGTAGGGGACTAATATGCTCTCACGGCTTCTTCATGTGCGCCACCCTACTGCAAAGCAAGCAGTCATTACTGCTATCGATTTACTAGGTTTGTTGAAATCATTAGAAATTGGATGTCATTTTTACACTTACTTATTTTTAAAGCTGCTGCTGTGGGCTTGGACTTATTTTGTTTTATTAAGGTTTTTAATATGCTCTTTATATGAAAATTTTGTTGATAAAACTTTGGCAACTCTCAGTTTATAAACCTTGTTCATTTCCATGTTTTTGTTTATAAAAAAGTTTGAACTTCCAAGAGCTTGTTCCTCTTGGGTTGGTTTACATCTCGCTAAGAGTAGGTTGTCTCTTGAATTGATTCTTTCTTTTTATCACCCCAGGGAATTTTGTTTCTTCATGTGTGTTTCCATAGAGCTTGGGGCCATATGCATGGTTGATTCTTGTTCATGGCGTGCTTGTATAATTGATTCCAAGGGTGTAGGTCACATACTTTTTCTTTTGGTTAAGTAAACATACTTTCGTTGAAGAAAATCTGTGTAATGGTACATAGTAGACAAACTAAGTCTTCTGATCAATGCCTAAGAGTACTTACATCCACCTGAGAACATCATGAAATATAGACAAAACCCTCTAAGATACAACCGCTTCGCATGCTAATTTCTTTTTTCAGTCAATGGTCCAACTTAAACTCTAAAAGAAACATAGGTGATGGCATGAGAGATACTGTTTATGTAGTAAAAGGCTGCCATTAATGTGAGATATTATAATCACAATCCTCAAAATAGGATACAATTGCTCTTGCATAATAGGATGCAGTTGCTCGCTGGACACATTTGTTATGTTCTGTGCTATATGGTTTAGATGACTTGCATTCATTAGTACAATGCAACTTTTCAGAAACTTGTGTGTTGATATTTCAGGTCGTGCTGTCATTAATGCTGCAGAAAATGGTTCATCATTTCCATTAAAAAGAAGGGACCAAATGCTTGACTATATATTAACTTTAATGGGACGAGATGACAGTGAAAGCTTTTCAGATACTAGTCTGGAACTTCTGGGCACGCAAGTTAGTAATACTTTTGGAGTTATTGTGTTTGTTTTGAGTGAAAAACCATGGAAAAGAAGTAAATTCTTTGAAAACACAATTTTCTAGGTGTTTGACTCAATTTTCCCCAATTTAGGGAACCATATTTTTCCTAAGATTAGGAGAAACCTGGAAAATGTTTTGGGGGGATATTTTCCAATACAACTTTAAATATAAAATTTTTAAAACTTAAAAGTGTCATTAAATCTACACCTATTTCCTTTTAGAAATTATTCCATTGCAAATCAATGCCGTAGCAAAATGAATACTTGGAAGGAAAAAATTTCACTAATATATTTCCAAGAAGAAAATGATTGCTTGGTAAATATTTTTGAAACAAACTCGCCAAATGTGATGGTCAACTTCTGTTGTACCTTTTCCAATTTTCTCACTCTTCATTAATTTCTACAGGCCCGTGCTTTAAGTGCCTGCACTACATTGGTCTCTGTGGAGCCAAAACTAACGATTGAAACCAGAAACCATGTATTAAAGGTTTGCTGTTTATTATGATGATGCACTATTTGTAACAGGAAACACACTTCTTGATTGGTTGTTGCTTAATATATATATATATATATATATTTTATTGTGATAACTTTGACAGGGCTACCTTAGGGTTCTTTGCTTTACCAAATGATCCAATAGATGTCGTCAATCCTCTTATTGACAACCTCATCACTCTCTTGTGTGCGATTCTTCTTACAAGGTATATTAAATCACATATATTATGCTTTTCGGAAGTGCTTATTCTTCTCAAACATCATCCTGTCATCATTTTGAAGTCTTGCTCAACTGCTTTGCCTTTTGGTTTTCTTTTTGTTTCCTTTTTTTGTGTGAAAGTTACCAGATGCTTTACCAGGATTTTTTTAATAATTTTGGAATATATACTAAATCATGTTATATGCGATTTTCTATTATTAATTTATTCAGTTGTGAAATATTTGACACCTGCTGGATAAGACTATGAGTTTTCACTATGGTAGGGGTTGACGATATAAAAATCTCACATCAGGAAATTCTAAGCCTTGCATCTCTCAATATAAAGAATTTTAGCTTCTTCAGTCATTGTCAACCGGTTTTGGGTTGGACAGTCTCTAAGTCTAACGTGGTATCAAAGCGGGCAGTAATATATATGCCAGGTTCAATTTGGTCACACATGCTCTGCACCACCTAATATAAGTGATACAGATGTTTCACTTTGTAGGCCATATGTGAATTGTAGGCTTCTCCATTCATTACCAGTTTGTTTTGGGTTGAAGGCTCCAACTTTAACATACGTATAATGTGTCTTATGTATCCAAGCGTCTCTCTAAAACATACATATTAGCTATTTCCTTGGAGTTATATGTGTTTCTTTTCTTTACAATTTAATGTATAATGATTATGAAGTTATATGTTTAATGAATTAATTAATTAGGGAAATTCTATAGGGTTTATATATTCCATACATATCTGCTTTATTTACAATGTCATGCATATTGCTTCTGATTAGCATTATATGACAATTTAGTGGAGAAGATGGGAGAAGTCGAGCAGAGCAGTTATTGCACATCTTGAGACAAATTGATCAGTATGTTTCTTCACCTATGGATTATCAAAGGAGAAGAGGTTGTCTTGCAGTACATGAGATGCTTCTCAAGTTTCGGACAGTTTGCATCACTGCACATTGTGCCCTGGGCTGCCAAGGAAGTTGCACGCACAAGAAGCAATTTGACCGTAACTTGCATGGGAACTTTTCTAACTTACCATGTAAAAATGTCTCTTGAAACAGCTTTCCCTTTATTTTTGCTTTTGCCTATCCTTATTCTTATCATTTTGTTCAACTGCCAGCGGCTTTTGTATTGCCAAGTCGTGAGGCCTTGTCATTGGGAGATAGGGTCATTATGTATCTTCCACGTTGTGCAGACACTAATTCTGAAGTTAGAACAGTCTCTGCTCAGGTAAGGTTTTTGCAGACTTAGCCTTTTTTAAGTGTCACTTAAGTTACATTTGGTTAATCCCCTATAGTGAAATATGTTACCCTCATTGTTATCTGGAAATGCACATGGATATCTAAATATTGTTTCTCAATTTGGCTGCATGTGACCTAACTCTCTCTCTCTCTCTCTCTCTCTCTCTCACTCTCTCCTCTCTCTCTCTCTCTGTGTATAGATTCTTGATCAGCTTTTTAGCATCTCACTTTCACTTCCACGGCCTGAAACTTCCAGTTATGGTGTGGACATAGAATTGTCCTACAGTGCTTTATCGTCCCTTGAGGATGTCATTGCTATTTTGAGGAGTGTAGGTTCATTTCCAGTTCTTTTCATACATTTACCTGCTTTCTTAATTTTTCTTCTGTTCTCTCATCATATCTTTCATGCGAAACCATGGGTGGACAAATTTAAAACTATGGAAATCTTTTGGTTCTTCTATATTCCCAGGATGCTTCTATAGATCCATCTGAGGTTTTCAACAGAATTATTTCCTCTGTCTGCATATTACTGACAAAGAACGAGGTAATTGCTTTTTTGATGAATATGTTTTTCAAAATTGAAACCAATAGTCCAACAACTTCATCTTATTCTTGAGGAATCCTTGCAGCTTATAGCTACTCTGCATGGTTGCACATCAGCTATATGTGATAAGATCAAGCAATCAGCTGAAGGGGCCATTCAAGCTGTAATTGAGTTTGTCACAAGAAGAGGGAATGAGCTGAGTGAAGCTGATGTTTCAAGGTTACCAAATAATGAAATTTTAAATTAGTAACATATTTCAAAAGGGAATACAGAATGTAGAGAGCTTTTCTCCTTTTGATTAAGAAATAGATTTACATGTTCTCTCACTTTGATAGTATATATTGTGTGTGTGTCTATAGGACGACCCAAGCTCTGCTGATGGCTGCGACCCATGTAACTGAGAAGCATTTACGTCAGGAAACTCTTGCTGCTGTATCTTTTTTAACCTACATTATATAGACCGTCCCCTTCTTAAAAGGATCCCTCTTACTATGAAAGAAAGGGACCACCCTATTGGGGCCTATCTCGCAACGTGCTCCAATGATCTAAACTGTATATCTTTGGGTCTCCGTTCAAGGATCATCCTTTGAAAAAAATCAACCAAGTAGGAAAGTTTTTAGCCATTTGATTATCATTGTAATTTCCACTGCTTATGGGAAAAATTGTAATTTTCTTTTCATAAAAAGAGGAATCTCGCTTTTGGAGCTGCTTCTCTAATCTCAGTGTATAACTCTTTATTGTTGCCTGTTTTAACCTCTTTGCTGGTTGTTTTAGAAACGTCAGTACACCTGTCTATCTTTAATCCTTACTTCTGATAGGTAGTTCTGTTTTACTTTTGGTTCTCTTTCCAATATTTGTGAAGTATCCTTAACTGCCAGAAGATTTCTTCTCTAGCTGAGAGCACTAGTTCGAAAGTTGTCTTCAATGAAGTTTTGGCTACATCTGGAAGGGATATAGTAACAAAAGATATATCCAGACTACGTGGTGGCTGGCCAATGCAGGATGCATTTTATGTGAGTCCCACGTGGCTTTCAGTTAGGATATTTTTATCTGTATCAGAGTTTTTGTTTACTGAAATATTACCAATAAAGTTCAAAAGGTTATACTGCTTCTGTTGCAATTGAGAATTGTTTTTGGAGGGGGGAGAAGAGAGAGAGAGAGTGTATGTTCTCCTTGGTTTGATTTGTTCAGTTTGATCTTAACAGTATTTATTCAGTCTTCTTCTTAACTTCTGGTAAGTTTATTATTTGACATTTGTCCTGCAGGCATTTTCCCAGCATACAGTTCTTTCATCTTTGTTCCTGAAGCATGTGATAGGTGTCTTTGGCCAGTATCCCATCCCTAAAGGTGATTCAGTAAAAGGAGACAATCCTAGCCATTTGGTTGACGGTCAAATGGAGGATGACATTCTACAAGCTGCTATTATTGCTGTCACTGCATTTTTCAGGTTTCTAGAATTAGCCTTGATTATCAAAATTTCAGATGTATTTATTCAGGTTAGTCAATTTTATTATGTTCCACTTTTTTTTTGTAGGGGTGGTGGTAAAATAGGCAAGAAGGCTGTTCAACAAAATTATGCTTCTGTTCTTGCTGAACTCACTCTCCAATTGGGAACTTGTCATGGTCTAGCTAGCTGTGGTCAACATGATCCATTACGGTAAGCATCTAGTACCCACATTTTTTATATATTGGTAATGTTATATTGCCAGACAGTTTGAGAAGATTAGATGCTTGTTTTGCCAGATTGGGAATCTGGACCACCTAATTAATGGCTCAGATTCATAGTCTGGAAAAAAGAGCATGTCCGCTATGTATATTTTGTTCTTTTTCCAGAGAATTTGACGTGTTAAGCTACCAGATTGTCAGTTAAGACAGCACATCCAAATACGATTGTACCTCTTGTTTGACAGTTTGATGCCAACATAACATGTCAGACACTGATTGGCAAGAAACTTACCCTGTATAAAGATCAACACACACATGTGAGTTGTAAGAATGTGTAGAGTTTAACTGTTAAATTTGTTATTTTGCCCCACTTTTCATGATCTTTCAGGGCTCTTCTAACTGCATTCCAAGCGTTCTGTGAATGTGTTGGAGATCTTGAGATGGGAAAGGTAGAAAAGGATATAAAGACAACAATTACTCAGCTATTTTATTATGGATTCTTCAATTGTTTCTTGCAATCTGAAGGGAATGTAATTTAGATATACTATCTATAGATTCTGGCTAGAGATGGAGAGCATAATGAAAATGAGAGGTGGATCAATCTTATTGGAGACATAGCGAGCTGCATCTCTATAAAAAGACCAAAAGAGGTAATATGGTTGACTTGAGACGATTTCATATCATTGTTTTAAATATCTAGTTTTATACTGTGATCTTTGATGGAACTTATTAGTTGAGATGAAAACAACATATGACAAATGACACTAGGTGGAGACTTCTAAGAGATAAATGTTTAAGCTGTGTTCTACTTCTATCACATTATAGTGAATTTGTTGATAGTGGTAGCTTGCCAGTTTCTTATGGACACTTTTTTTTTTTAAAGGTTCAAAGCATATGTGTAATTTTAAGTAAATCATTAAATCGACACCAAAGATACCAAAGGGAAGCTGCAGCTGCTGCATTATCAGAGTTTGTCCGCTACAGGTATGTGCAATATGTCAATTAATGCTCTCAAATTTTTATTGGTTTCATTTATTTCACTTTATTTAGTATATAGATTATTATTTATTCCCATGATATGTATTGTTATCGTGGGATCTGGTTGTTGCAAACATTGTTTGTGTGAAATGTCATTGTCGGTAATGTTGCTACTTTTCCGTTCACCTTTGTGATGCCTGTATCATTGTTCCTGTCCATAATAACAATTGTTTGCTCTCTTTCCTTCAGTTTCTTGTGTGCTTTTGAGGTTCAATTTTGTTCTTTGCTTATTGTTAGTTCAGTTGCTTTTTTGTGTTATTAGTTAAAATGATTGGTCAACTTTTTATTTCAAGTTATTAAATAATATTCTTGACAATGCAGTGATGGATTTGGCTCCCTGTTGGAGCAGATCGTGGAGGTGTTGTGTCGACATGTATCAGATGAGTCTCCAACAGTTAGGCGCTTGTGTTTGAGAGGACTAGTACAGGTTTCCCGATTCTTACACACAATTGTCAAGAATGATTGTTTAGATTTTTATGCATGATGCTCTTTCCTTAGTTTTTCTTTTATAATTATCAGTTTTTGCTGAAAAGCTTTCCATGCATGAATATGTGCACTTCTCACTTCACTCATTGGTGTTTGTATGCACGTGCTTTTAGTTCTATTTGTTTTGAGGTAAACATTGCATTGTTTGTTGGAAAAAGAATTCTACTGTGGTATAGAATGTCATACATTTTCTTTGGCTTTCAAGAGAAAAGAGCCATTTGATTTCTTTTGGACTTTGGACGATGTTTTGTAATCATATGTCCATTCTCAATCTTGTTAATTATCTGTGTGCCTGAGAAAAATGTCTGATTTGAACATTTTTGTTTGATTGTTTGTCCTTCATATAGAATTATATGCCTATGGATCTTATTATTTCTTGTTGTATTCTACTCTTATTTTCATTCTTTGCACTGTGGAGGAAATGACATTTCTCAACTTTTGAGTTTCAGATACCTTCAATCCATATGTTGCAGTACACAACTCAAGTTCTGGGTGTAATATTAGCTTTACTCGATGATTCTGATGAATCTGTGCAATTAACTGCAGTCTCTTGCTTACTCACGGTGATTCCCACTCCCTTTTTCTCTCATGCATGTTTGTAATTTAATTTTTAAGAATTATCTTTTGAATACTTTTTTTTTTCTTCGTAATCATTGCTTTACTATCAATTTTTGAGCACTCATTTCTCATGTATTAGATGCTTGAGTCATCACCCAACGATGCAGTGGAACCCATTTTGCTTAATCTTTCTGTACGGCTTCGAAATCTTCAGGTGCAGTACTTCACTCTTTAATAATATTGTTCAAGAAATTATTTATGGTTCTTGGTACCTCCTTTGTTACCATATTTTGATTCCGTATGATAAAATGTTTCCAAAATACTTGTAAAGTTGCGTACTTGAACTACTTGTCTTCAAGGATATGTTGGTAGTTTATATTTTAGGCTTATTTATTGTTTTCCTCTTGTGCTTTACCGAAAATCTCAATTTCCCCCCTACATTTCAATTGGGAAAATGTGCCACCTGTGATTTCATTCGTGTCCCACGTCCCCCATTCCTCCAATTTTCAATGTGCATTGATTCTTTTTAGCGAAAGAGGTTGCCAGTAGTATCAGAATTTGCCAACATCCTGATGACGTATCACTGTGGGAGTGGCAACCTTCCACTCCCACATCAATGCCCACACTCCTAAAAATTTGGTAATTCATTACAAAGGTCTAATCATGAACGTTTCCTTCCTAAATTAATTTTGGTCTTGAGTCTTTGGAGGAGCTGATAATAACACTTTCTATAAACATTCTTCAAATCCCTTTACTTTGCACGTACTAATCATGACATAATGCTGGGAAAGGATTAAAAAGCCTCTTCTAGAAATGAAGGGAGGAGGGACTTTGGTAAACAGTGGAAATTAACTTTTGAGGGATGTTCCCGGAAGTTATTTTTTAAGAAACTAGGTTAGAACAGTCTTTAAATTGGGCCCAAGGATACCGTGCATGTTTATCACTTAATATTTGGAAATAAGTTGGCATCTTGCATGTTGTTTGGAGTATGTTTCATTTGATTTTGCTCATATGTAGACTAATGTACCACATGTTTGAAACAGATATGCATGAACCCAAAGATGCGAGCTAATGCTTTTGCAGCTTTTGGAGCCTTGAGCAACTACGGAATTGGGGCACAGCACGAAGCATTTCTTGAGCAGGTCTCTTACTCATTCTGATCCTATGAAGAACTAACTTTGTTTTCATTTTTAAGAACTGTACCCTTTTTCTTTGATGACCTATGAATGGTCAATGTGAGCATAGACATTATTTAGATTATCATGGTTTAAATTTTTTTGGCTGTAGTTTACTCAATTATTGTTCTAACTTGGCCACTTGTTTAATTATTTATGGTTAATGGAATAACTTTCCAACTTAACAGGGGTTTACCTATAAAAGCTCATATAGTTGTAATTTCTTTTCTAGGTACATGCTGCCATTCCACGCTTGGTCCTGCATTTGCATGATGATGATGTTAGTGTGCGACAGGCTTGCCGGGTAATTGGTTAAAATCCCTTTTACATCTTCTGTGCACGAAGCTTTACAGATACACTTTTGACTTATTTTTTCTATTAATATATAGAGTACTCTCAAACGAATTGCCCCCTTGCTGGAAATGGAAGGATTGTTGCCCTTGTTCAACATGCATTGCTTCAATCATGATCATCGGTATCCCTTGACATATTTTGAGGCCGAGTTTATGAAATGATTATGACAGTAAAACTTTATATGGATACCTGAAGTCACACCAACTGTTCTCTTTTCAGAACTGACTACGAGGACTTTGTCAGAGACCTCACAAAGCAATTTGCTCAGCATCTTCCCTCTAGAGTTGATACTTACATGGCATCGACAATACAGGTTCCCATGCTGGAAAGCCTTCATTTTTTTTATATGAAAAATATATGTCTTGGTTGCCATGTTAAGTGAATGTAATGCATATTTCAACTGAAGCATGAGATAGCCAGGGTGGCTGCACCAAATGCCTATCCAAAAGGAAAGTTAAGGGTTCACTGTTTCTCCTACTCTGTACACCTACATCTCATCTTAGATCCTACACCTTCTAGCCTTCTACGAACACCTGCATCCATTTCCTTTAGAGCTTTTATAACTTGAAATTTTTTACCATGCTGCTCACTCTACCAAATGGTCTCATCCCTCTTGTGCTTGTTTGGGGTCTTAGCCTTCTGTCATCACACCAAGCTGTTTAATATCGATATTCATGTTAAACATGTTAATTGACTGATTTAAATTGGCATATCATGAAGATTAATGCTTGCTATATGCACCAAGTTGGCTTGATAATATGGTGTGGCAGCTTGCATGGCAAGCCACTGATGGCTCGTTGCATACTCTGGTAGAGTAGTGTGATATGCATAGAGTGCCATGTAAGCTGTTACATCAGTTTCCAAACTATAGTTTATACATGTTTTAGTGTTTTTCCTATCATAAATAATGGTTGGCCTTTATAGATACTTCATGATGTCCTGTGATTTTATGGGTATATGCCTAGCACTTCAAATGGTTATGTTACCTGTTTCCTTTATGTGTACCAAAAGACTTGTCTTGCATTTTATGTTGCAGGCTTTCGATGCACCGTGGCCAATAATTCAGGCAAATGCTATATACTTCTCCAGTTGTATGCTATCTCTGTCAGATGATCAGCACATTTTGACTCTCTATTATGCACAGGTCAGTTTCAGACAAGCGCTATCTTTTTATGACATAGCAAAGACTAACATAGGATATTGATATTCACAAAGATTCATGGCTTCATATAGGTATTTGGAACATTAGTAGGCAAAATGAGCAAGTCAGCAGATGCGGTGGTGAGAGCAACATGTTCTGCTGCTCTTGGTTTGTTATTAAAATTCTCGAAGTCATCCTCATGGAAAGCAGCTCGAGTTGATCGTGTGGAATCAGGTCGAAGAAGCCATGATTCTTCAGCCTAAAATGAAGCAGAAATCTATAAAGGAGAAATTCAAATGGTCATCTTCATCTGTGTACTCGAAAACATATCCCCGTGTTTGATGAAGAAAAAGCAATGCATGAGGGAATGTGGAAATCATGATGTTCATTTTCAAGGTGCAGAACGAAGCAGCTAGGGTGAATGTTTAGAGCTCTGCATTGACCTCTTTAGTATGTAGGGTTATCGAATATCGATGTCTATAATTGTAAGTGACTTATGCCAATTTCTCAGCTGTTGTAAATCATGTCAATTGTAGACTTGTCAGTTGTCAATCCATAATTTGTGCCTAGGGTCATCTGTGTATTTGTTTGTTGTAGATTTATGTCATATGCATAATTTAGACTTGTCGTGTAACATTATGCCGATTTACCCAGAAACAAGTGAGTATGTAAAATATTTGTAAATTCCAGTGTTTAAACATACTATCGGTTGTATGTGAACCATTTGTCACTTCATTTGCATATGAATTTTTGTCACGTGCTCTACGTCATACAGTTGATTTTGAGTTGAATGCTCTAAAATCACATGAATTTGAAGATTTTCATCGAATTATGAATGTTGCAATGGCAGCTCTCTCTTTCTTCTGTATATATAGAATGTGTGTGTAATTTTTGTTTAAAGGTAAGAATAATGTTGCACACACTGAAGCTGCTGTCTCCGCATTCACAATTTTTATAGTCCATGAAAGCCTGCAGCTTCCTCTGTTTACTTCTGTCAACTTCTATTCTATAAATATCTGTAGGAAATGCAGCCCAGTGAAAAGTCCTGCACGAAAGAGAGGAGATGCAAAGAGAGTGAAAGTAATGTGGAAGTGGGAAAACAGTCCACGGAATTCTGATCCATGAATTCTTCTCTCTTTGGATAACAAACAAATGCATATGTATGCTCTTACGTCACCAGAAAACTCACCATTGTCTGCTAGCAACAATTTTGTTATATAATCCAAGTAAGAGGGTCTACTTCATAGAGCAATAATTTTAGTTTCCATGGCTTCTCGTGATGAAGAGCGCCAGCTTCACTTTGTCTTGTTTCCTTTCATGGCCCAAGGCCACATGATCCCAATGATGGACTTTGCCAGGCTGTTGGCACAAAGAGGCATCACCATCACCATAGTCACCACCCCGCATAATGCTGCCCGTTTTCGAACGGTTGTTACTCGTGCCATACAATCTGGGCTCCAAATCCGGTTGGTCCAACTGAGATTTCCATCTGAAGAAGCAGGGTTGCCGGACGGATGCGAGAACCTTGACATGCTACCTGCAATAGGTTCGGCAGATAAATTTTTTTTTGCAACTGCCCTGCTACAACAGCCGGCAGAGAAATTGTTTGAAGAGCTAACTCCCAAGCCAAATGCAATATTCTCTGACGTGTGTTTGCCATGGACAATCAGCATTGCTCAAAAGTTTCACATTCCAAGGATATCATTCAGTGGATTCTGTTGCTTTTGCCTCCTTTGCGTCCACAGTTTACATACATCCAAGGTTCTTGAGAATGTAACATCCGATTCAGAGTACTTTGTTGTGCCTGACTTCCCCGATCGATTCGAGGTTACCAAAGCTCAGTTGCCAGGACCCCTGACTCCAAATATGACAGATTTTTATGACCAACTTGAAGCAGCCGAGAAGGCAACATATGGGATAATCATGAATACTTTTGAAGAATTGGAGCCAGCATATGTTGAAGCATACAAGAAGGCGGCTAAAGTCTGGTGTATAGGCCCGGCTTCGCTTTGCAACAAAGATGACTTGGATAAGGCGCACAGAGGTAACGAGGCCTCCATTGATGAACATCACTGCTTGAAGTGGCTTGACTCATGGGAACCAGGTTCTGTAGTTTATGCTTGCCTTGGAAGTTTATGCAATCTCATAACCGACCAGCTGATAGAGCTTGCATTGGGTTTAGAGGCATCAGAAAAACCATTCATTTGGGTTGTAAGGGGATGCAGTCAATCAGAGGAGTTGGAAAATTGGATTTCAGAAGCTGGATTCGAGGAAAGAACGAAAGCAAGGAGCCTTTTGATTCGGGGTTGGGCGCCGCAAACACTCATTTTATCACACCCTGCAGTTGGGGGGTTCTTAACACATTGTGGTTGGAATTCGACGTTGGAAGGGATATGTGCAGGGCTGCCTTTAGTCACATGGCCACTGTTCGCAGACCAATTTCTCAATGAAAAACTAGTTGTACAAGTTCTTAAAATTGCTGTGAGTGTTGGGGTGGAATATCCAGTAAAGTGGGGAGAGGAAGAGAAGATTGGGGTAATGGTGAAAAAGGAAAATGTGAAGGAAGCCATAGAGAAAGTGATGGATGGAGAAGAAAGAGAAGGGAGAACAGAGAGAGCCAGAGAGTTTGGAGAGATGGCAAAGAAAGCAGTAGCAGAAGGTGGATCTTCTCACCTTAACATTACACAGCTAATCCAAGATATCATGCAACAAGGAAGTAATTGCAGAGAGAATTTCAGAGAGTGAAAGATAAAAGATAGATTTCCAAATCCCTTGTTCTTTTTTACCGGACTCTAACATATTGAATATCCATCCTATAAGCTTAAACTAATTTGTACAGAATTCCTCTATTTACTTCTTTTACCTTCTATGGTAACTATTTCAGTGTTCCATATTTAGATGCGTGGGAGATATAGGGTTGCGGGGTTCGATACAAGTCATGAATGGAAATTAACATAACCTTTATATTGGAAAAGTATCACAATAATCTAAGATAAAATTCCACACTTGTATGGATCCATTGGACCTCATTTCACCCAGGCCAAAAGACTTTCACCCTTAATCTTTTCTCTCCTCCCTGCACACACCGATGGTCACTCACAGAATGCTTACATCTCACAATCTGCTACTTCGCAATGAAGAATTTCTTTAGCCATAGTCAAAGTTTGCTGCTGCCTAACTTCACAGTCCTTATCTTGTGGGCAAAATCACCGTGATATTTTCATCAGTTTCAACGTATCTTGCTAGTTTGGACTGAATGAGACGTGATTTAGTTTCCTGCTTTATTTGTATTTATTTCATAGATTTGTTTTATATATTCCTCGTCTTTCAAGGACTTATTCTTGCCTAGAATAGGAAATCCTTTGTGTAGACACCAAGCAAAGCATTGTATATAATTATCACATGATTATTCAATGAAAATCATCAAGACTATTCAAAACCTTAAGGACTTAGTAGTGGCAGGGGCGGTCCTGGGGTGGTGCAAGTGGCGCTACCGCACATGGCTCCTAATTTTTGAGGGCCCCCAAAAAAAAATTTCTTTATATTATATATATTAATTTTATAGAAATGGTATATATACTTAGCGTGCTGCATATTATTAAAAAGGGAGTTTCACTAAAACACCCAAAATGGGGGCTGAAATTATAAAAACACCCAATATCCAAAACACTTTATAAACACACCCAAAACCCATCATTACACACACTCAAAACTCATTTATAAACACACCCAAAAAATATACAATTGTTGATTTTGGGGTGTGTTTCAATGTTTAAATAGTGTTTGAGTTTTTTTATAAATACATGTCTATGATTGGGTTGATTTATAAATTTGTATATTAAAAAAGTGTGCGTGGCGGGGCTTGCTTTGTAGTGCATATTCGTTAATAGAAGGGCCCGTGTTTGAGTCTCATTGAAAGATTAGCTTTGATTTCAATTGGAAGTGAACTTCTAGAAAAACTCAAAAAGATCAATTTTCAGACATTAAGTATTGTACATGTTGTGTGTGGGTGTGTGTGTGTGTTTTTTTTTTTGTTGTTGTTTTTTTGGGAGGTGAAGAACTCTTGTAATAGTTTTAATTCTTCAAATAAAGATAACAGATACAATATGAATGATTTTTGGATAGTAAGGTATGTTTTTGTCATTACATGTTTATTGATGACAACTTTTAGTTATAAGTATTTTTGTATTAGATTATATGAGGTCCTAATTTAGTGGCCCCTGCACGTGTGTCTTAGTACATTAAAGAGAAAGGTCAGAGGTAAAATTGTCAACGGTCTTTTCTACTCGAGTCATTAGAATCTTCTTCGCATAAACTAAAAATGTATAGGCACGCGCTTATGTCACCAACAAAGAGCAATTGCCTGGAACCATCAAACCTTTGATGTATCAGTACTTATATAAGAGGCTTAAGCCTGCTTAATTCATAGAACATTATTGTTGTTCACCCATTTCTCTTAATTTCCATGGCTTCTCATCAAGACCACCAGCTTCACTTTGTGTTCTTTCCTCTAATGGCTTCAGGCCACATGATCCCATTGATAGACATTGCTAGATTGTTTGCACAACAAGGCATCATTGCCACCATATTCACCACACCCCACAATGCAGCCCGATTTCAAGCAGTTCTTGCTCGAGACATAGAATCTGGGCTCCAAATCCGCATAATCCAAGTGAAGTTTCCAGCCGAAGAAGCAGGATTGCCCGAAGGCTGCGAAAACTTCGACATGCTACCTTCACCAAACTTGGTCGTCAATCTCTCTGCTGCAACTACCTTGCTTCACAAGCCAGTAGAGAAATTGTTTGAAGAGCTAACTCCAAAGCCAAACTGCATAATCTCAGACGTGTGTTTAACATGGACAACCTGCATTGCCAGCAAGTATCACATTCCAAGGATATCTTTCACTGGAAGAGGCTGCTTCTGTGACTTGTGCGTTCACAATTTACGTGTATCCAACGTGCTTGAGAGTATAATGTCTGATTCGGAGTACCTTGTTCTGCCCGACCTGCCTGATCGAATTGAGATGACGAAAGCTCAGCTTCCAGAGGGGACAATGACAGCAAGACTGAAAGATTTTTGTGACAAAATAATAGCAGCTGAGACTGAGACATATGGGATGATCATGAATACTTTTGAGGAATTGGAGCCAGCATATGTTCAAGCATACAAAAAGGTACCAAAGGATAAACTCTGGTGCATTGGCCCTGCTTCCCTATGCAACAAAGATGACTTGGACAAGGCACAAAGAGGTAACAAGGTGTCC